AGAAATTTGTTTTCGTTTGATAGCAACGGACGGAGTGGGGTGCATAACTGCGCTAGATTGGGGATAAATTTATTTAAGTGTTTTATCGAGCCCATGAAGCTCTTTAATTGCTTGAACGTTTTTGGATGACTTAGCTGTACTATTGCGTCCGTCTTTTTCTGCATTGGGATTGTACCATATTCGTTAAGGACATAACCCAACCATTCTACTTGTTTACATCCAAATTTACTCTTATCTGGTGATATTGCCATATTTTCAGCGTCCAGCTTGTCTAAAATGTTTTTTAGTTTGTTTATGTGATCTTCTTTTGTACCGTGGGATATAATTATTATGTCATCCAGAAATGCAAATGTATCCATTTCATTATTCAGTGTTAGGTCGATGGTTTTCTGAAATTCGGCAGGCATATCAGTTAGGCCGTAAAAACCTGTTTGAAACTGATATGTGCCTGTTGTCTGACCCCCAATTATGCTGAAATTACATTGCTCCCGTGTAGTTTCGTCAAATTTTAGCTGACTGTACTCATACCGAAGAACAATCGTTGAGAACAGTGTGGTACCTGACTTGTTGTGGCCTTCTTGCGCTGATTGAGAAGGTCAGACAACAGTTCATCCGGGCATCTGATACTTGTTCTCATGTATCATTTTATGAATTTGCTTAGAATCCATAGCCAATTTAATTGATTGGTCTTTCTTGACCGTGATGACTAATGGGCTGATAAACTGTTGATCGCTGCATTTTTCCAACTTGACAATATTCCTTTGATTTATGAGGGATTTAATTTCTTGTTCCACTTTTTCCTGAATGTGTATAGCGATCCTCCTACCTTTTTGTTGTAGTGCTTTAAATTCATTTAGAAATATTGTTTGCACTATATGGTTACGTGCTCTCCCGATTCTTGTACACAAACCAGGATATGTTGTCTTCACCCAGTTGGTTATTTTTAGGTCTGAACAATTTGTATCTTCTGATATTGCGTTAATTGACTTACCAGCTGGTTTTTGTTGGAGTTGAATTCTCATTTGCGGTAGGATGTTTTTTCCAAGAATATTTACCCGCTTGTCATCTACCACTATCAGTGAAGTTGTGTCGAGAGCCCATCCTCCCGATTCAATAGGTGCGACAACTCGTCCAAACGATGGGATTTTGTATCCATTATGGCAGACCATTCTTTTTGCCTCGTCGTTTTCGGTTGTTTGCGTCCGTCTTGCTGAATCTACCATCGATCAGGTTCGCCGTCCGTTGATTTATGAAGGACGCTGGCAATCCGGTGTCCGCAATAAACACCAAGTCGTTCTGGCCGCATCTAACCCTTACTAAGTGTCCTTTGAGATCGGTTTCGTCAATTTGGTTGACTGTTTTGCTCTCAAAACGAATTGTGTTTGTAGTTCAACCGTCTGGATGTACTAGTTCCCAACCGGGAATGAGATTGCCCGCCTGCATGTAGTTTACATAACCGGCAACGTCTGTGTCCTGTGCTACCTGTTCTGTTGTCTGATCGTCCTGAATGGCGTTTACCTCTGATGATTTACATAAACGTGCATAGTGTCCCCGTTTTGTACACTTTTTGTTTTTGTTCTGTGGACTGGCGATGTAGGTTTCCACGTTGCTGTTGTGACTGCCGGTGTCGTCCTCGCCTTGATTGTGGTTATTTGCGTGGTTGGTACTGATACCTGCTTCCGGATGAGCAGTTGGTTTTCAAAACCCTTTTCTCTTCTAATTGCATATTGCAATGCTTGATCAGGTGTCTTTGTTTCCGCCAGAAGGTCTTTTTGCACTTCGTCGTTGGACATGTTAGAGGTGAAAAGGTCCCTAATTATTTCTGTCCCCAGTCTCCCATCATTACAGTTCATGCACTTGATGTTCCCTTTCACCACTAATTCCGTTAGATTGCAGTGGTATTGCTCGAATGTTTCGGTTTTCCCTTGTTTTCGGGTAAACGCTTCGTATCTATCGAAGGTGACATTTCTTTCCTTGACAAATAGACGTTTCAGGCGTTCCCAGAAGTTTCTGGTTGTAATTTCTTGGATTCTGAGGTCTGGGTAAATTTGTGACACTCTTCTTTGGCCCTCAGCTCCCAAGCACATGAATGTAGCTTCTACATTTAATATCTGCTTCACCCCATGGGACGCCGTCTACTGTTGGACCAAGATTATCTAAGTGTGCGCATTGATTTTCCCATGTCACTTTCTTTTCTTGATTCCGAAGGTTGTTATCACGAATCTGGACATTTGTTTCACCATCTATCGGGAGTTCATATCCTGGTTCTTGGGGACGACTATATGCAGTGGGGTTTTGCAGTAGCTTTGATAAATCTATACCGTCTTTGGCGATGAGGCCTAGGAATAATTGTTGGTTCCTCTTGTCCCACTCTATTGGTGGGTCCACCGAGGCTTTTTGCCAGAAAGGCGTAATTCATAATGGGTTTTTCGTAACTGCTGGCTGCGCCAAATTATACCCACGGAATGTCTATAGCTGGATTGAGATTCTGAATGGCGTTCGAAATAAGAAGAGTTTGTTCAATTTAAATTCAGTTTGTTAAACGAGAATCTGTTTCTGTTTTGAACTGACCTCGAAAGCATGTCAGAGTCAGAACTCATAAGAACTAGTACATAATGAGTTAGGTTTACAAATAACGTATTATCACAGATCTCTTTAGATTATGTAAATATACCAACTGGTTATATATGTATATGTAGAGCCGAGGAATTCTATCAATATAATAATATGTTTCTTGTTTTAGTACATGTATGAACTATCTGATAAGCTGAGTTTTCTTACTATCCACTGGATAACATCTTCATTCGTGTTTCCAACATGAAGTAATTCTATTTTTTATTCAACCCGTTCTCAGAATTTTTCTCAGATGGATCAGTCAGACTGTACGTAGGCGAATTAAATGCAGCAATTTACCAAATTGAAGTGATTAAATCAATTTTTGGTCACACGAGAATCAATAGTTCTGATCAAAATTGATTAATGTACTCATAAGTCCATTTCTCTTAAGTTTTAATAAATAAAATAATTTCCAGTCGTGATATTTTTTTCAATGGAAGCAGAGTTTTCCATTATGAGAAGAGTACAAATCGATTATATTTTTTTGCACAGCTTTGCAACTGCACCTTTGACGCCTTCTTATTAACTCCAAATTTATAAAGAAAATCATTTTTTTTTGGATATTCGATTTCAGCGATTCTACATTTAAATATTTAAGCAACATGTTCACAAATATATTTTTTGTTTCTTTTATCCGATGGAAATTTGTCAACATACGCTTGCTGAAAATCAATCCCGGTAAAACCATGATATATCGGTGTCAGGACAAAAGATACCATACCAAAAGCTCTCATGACAAAAGATACCATACCAAAAGATCCCTTGTATAAAAATCGCCCATACCATAAAATCCCATGCCAATTAAGAAGATCACATGGATTATGAACAAAAATCTTGATCAAAGTGTAAGCAGACATAAATCTAGAGTAATGATATCTTTGTTCTCACGGTCGGCGCTAACACGAACTTTAAACAGAAGTAAACAAACGACATCCCTGCCCACTATTGCCACAGATGACCGTCATTTCGAAGTACCCGATCGTTTTAAGCAATTTTGTCTTTTTGATAGCGGAAAACAAGATACGGAACGCATACTAATTTTTGGCGACATTGAGAACCTCAATGCACTTAAATTGTACAACAAACCTGGCTTGTAGACGGTACTTTCAAAATTTGCCCCAGTCAGTTTTACTGTTTTGCCCCAGTCAGCTTTTACAATAAGCGTTTATCAACCTATAACAAATTCCTAACCGCACTCAAATCGCTTATCGGTGACGTAACCCCGGAAAGAATTTTGATCGACTTTGAAATTGCGGCTCTGAGTGCTTTTACCTCTCATTACGAAACTGACATTAAGGGATGCTATTTTCACCTCTGTCAGAGCTTTATGCGAAAAATATCCGAATTGGGCCTTAAAAAGACGTACGAATCAAACAGCGAGAATCTTTGTTATTTTATTATGGTATCTTAAGACATACGAATCTTTGTTATTTTATTATGGTATCTTATGTCGTGGGCGATTTTAGAACGAGGTATCTTTTGGAATGGTATCTTATTGACTGGAATCTTCTCGTTTGGGATCTTAAGGTAAGGGATCTTTTGTCATGTAACCGATATATCAACACTAGTTTCTTTGAAATTGCTGCGATGCAAAATTTTGTTCAGCATTGACTACGAATTGTCAGGAAATGTGTTTGTGATACTTGATTTTGAGTTAAAAGACATGTATTTCACAGAATACATACTTCCAGCACATTACGTGGTCGGAACAGATACCTCTAGGACAACTTTTACACTTTTTGATGCGAAATCATTTCCCTCAATCTTTTAACCAATATGACAATCTATCTCGAAACAAAATCGATTTTTTTAGATTGGGTAGTCAGCGTCCGAACATAGGATCCATAGTCAGTAGCGTCCGCCCCCCCCCCCCCCCCCACGGATTCGTCGCCCTGCCGACCCAAAGGGTCCCCCTTTGTACTATTTTGAGATATCCATTTCTTGTGACGGACCCTAAAATCTAAAATTGTTCTAAAGGCGCCTTTGGTAGAAATTTTGCAAAAAGTGCATAAAAACGCCTTTTTGGCCAGTTTTTTTCACAAATATGCCTGTCAAATTAGGGTCTTTATACGGATTTGGGAGAGCTCAAAAAATCAATTTGGTTGACCTAAAACAAAAAAAAGGTCGACAAAATTTTCAAAGTGAGAAATTCCTAGATCCGCGCCTGTACATAGTATTCAATTAAAAAACTGTTTTCCTTTCAATTTACTTTCGGAAGCTTGAACGGAAGCTTAATGAATTTACGTCAAATTATTTTTTAATGATAATTTATAGAGGCCATTGAATGAACTAAAATAAAAATTACAAAAAGTAAATCAAATTACCATTACAATTTCATCACATTGACGAACTGACACTTGTAATTTTTTTTAGAGAATGGCATGTTAAATGTATTTCTGCGACACGTTTGAAATGTTTTTTTTTCTTGAAAACGTTAAATAAATAAGCAAGTGTCAGTTGAATCTACTAATCAAAATGGAGAATTCATTCCAAGCTTAGTTCCAAATTGTAATTTGCTTCTGCGGTGCTGTTTTAACGCTTTCCTTACTTCGTAAACTTTGACCATTTCGCTCAGAAAAAGAGCCAGCAAACACCACACAACCCCCGCTATCCATACTTGTCCAGGTGTATTTGGAATCGTAAAAGGGGTATTTTTGTACGTCTGTACGTCTGAATAGAAATAGAAGAGCTGCAGTATAATAATGAGAGGACACATTATTGTCCAGACTAGGTTGCGGAAGGGAGCCCGACGCCAGACGTAGGTTTTGGGGAAGACAAAACTGGCTGATATGAAGCAAAGGTGAACGACCAGGAACCTAAACGAATCAAATAGATCCTTTCAGCAAGTGAACTTAAAGATAGGTTTGAACCGAATTCAAGTTTTTCAGCAAACACTACACTCCTGTGATTCTCTTGTTGTCTTTTATGACGGCCTTGTCTTCGTGTGTCGTTTGCGAATACTTCATAACAATAATATCAAAATATATATTCAAATCTGGTTCCATATTAACAAGCAGTAATATTGCGGCTCATAAGATCAGCGACGCTTCTTTACATAAAAATGACAGAATTTTCAGATAATGTTAAAGCTGAAAAAGACGTATAATCTCATTTCAAGTCTCCAATGATCAAGTTTCATTTTTTCTCTAAAATGAGTCGAAAATTGACGTTTCCGATTTAAAAAAGGAAGAGATTTTTGCTCGAATTGAGTCAGAAACTTAATTAATACTTCAAAAAATACTCAATTTTGTCGAATTTCGACAAGGTTGGGTTTTTTTTGAGCAGACGCACCACGTAGTGAGGTTCTGCGCGACTACTAAGGCGCCTCTGTAGCTGCCCCTGTATCCATTCCACAGCTCAGTGGAGTTTGTGTTGCCATGAGTGAGGAGACAGTTGTCCTCTTCTGTGACGTAGAGACACATGGTGTAGAGAATGAGCATCTCCATGAGTGGCAGCAGCAGACACGTCGGCAGGAACCGCATCGCAAACACAACTATAAATTCACGCACGTCCTGAAAAAAACAATGATTTAATTACATGACAAAACATAACTGCAATCAACGAAAATCCTTCTTATTTCTCAAATCCTTACAAACTATGTATATCTTTCTGCATGTAATTTAGATCTCTTTCTCGTCGGGACATTGAAGGTTCTTCAATGTCCCGAAGAGAAAAAGATCTAAAATACATGCAGAAAGAGATTTTTCATACATGCAGAAAGGAATTTTTCAACTTCGAACTATACTGGTCTTCAAAAAGCAAAATTCAGCATTTTCTGAGAAGAAACAAAAAATTTCAATTTAGATCTTGTTAAAACTTATCTTTATAACAACCCTTTAAACTCGAACACATAATAGTAATACTTTAAAACTTCTTTAAACACCTTCAGAACTTAGATCTTTTCAATTATCTCGTTTACTCTTAAAAACTTTGAACTTGATGAAAGGTTTTGAGCAGTATGTATCATTTTGAGTATTGTGTACTGTTTTGAGTATTATGTAACGTTTTCAGTATTATGTACAATTTTGAATATAATGAACCATTTTGAGTGTTTTGTACCAATTTTAGTATTATGTACCGTTTTGAGCATTGCTAACCGTTTTGAGTAATATGTACTGTTTGAGAATTTCTAACCATTTTGAGTATTATGAATTGTTTTGAAAAATATGTACCGTTTTGAGAATTATGTACCGTTGTGAGTATGTGCCTTATTGAGTAATTTGTACCTTATTGAGTATTAAGTAACATTTTGAGTATTATGCACCGTTTTGAGTATTAAGTACTGTTTTTGGTATAATGGACGGTTTTGAGTATTATGTATTCTGTTTAGTATTACGTACCATTTTGAGTGTTATGAAAGGTTTTGAGCGTTATGTAACGTTTAGGTATTATGTAAATTTTGAGTATTATGTACCGTTTAGAAAGTTGTATCGCTTTCAGTTTTTTTATACCATCCTCGTTTTGAGTGTTAAGTACCATTTTGAGTATTATATATTGGTTCGAGTATTATGTAACGTTTTGATTTTTATGTACCATTTTCTATTTCATGAACTTTTTTTTGAGAATTATGTACTAATTTGAGTATTATGTACCGTTATGAGTATTATGTACCGTTTTGAGTATTATGTACCGTTTTGAGTTTTGCTAACCGTTTTGAGTATTAAGTACTGTTTTCATTACGAGGCCAAACTGTGCACTGGATAGGCGCACAATTTTGTGTCTCTGTGTTCCTGGATTCCATAGACAAGTCTTTAAACAGGTTAAAATTTTGTCGGAACAAAGGGAGCGTCCTTGTTGCGGAATCCGCTCACAATGCACAAAATGCAATTTGGCCTCGTAACGTTGAGAATTATGTACCTTATTCAGTATTAACATTTTGAGTATTATGTACCGCTTTGAGAATTATATACCGTTTTGAGTATCAAGTACTGTTTTGAGTATAATGGACATTTTTGAGTATTATGCAATGTTTTTAGTATTATGTACCGTTTTGAGAGTTATTTAAGGTTTTAAGCGTTATGTAGCGTTCAACTATTATGTACCGTTTAGAAAATTATGCATCGCTTTGAGTTTTCATGCCGTTCTGAGTATTATACATCGTTTTGAGTATTATGTACCAATTTGAGTATAAGGTACCGTTTTGCGTATTATGTACCGTTTTGAGTATTGCAATTTTTCGAGTATTATGTACCTTTTTGATAATAATGTACCGTTTTGAGTATTGCTAACCGTTTTGAGTATTATGTACTGTTTTGAGTATTATGTACCATTTCGAGTATTACGTACTGTTTTGAGGATAATGGACGTTTTTGAGTATTATGTACCGTTTTGAATATTGCTAACCTTTTGAGTATTATGTACTGTTTTGAAAATTATGTAGCGTTTTGAGTATTACATACTGTTTTGAGGATAATGGACGTTTTTGAGTATTATGTACTGTTTTTAGTATTATGTACAGTTTTGAGTATTATGTACCGTTTTAAGTATTATGTACCGTTTCGAGTATTATGTACCGTTTTGAGTATTATGTACCGTTTTGATCATATGTACCGTTTTGAGTATTATGTACCGTTTTGAGTATTATTTACCGTTTTGAGTATTTTGCTGTAGTTTTTGCGTGCAGTGGTCCACTGTAGTGAGTTTGGACATGTGGGGTTGGCAAGGAGGGCGGTGGATAGGAGGGGCAGGATGAATCCGACCAGCCAGAGGATGAGGGAGCCGGAGAAGGGAGGGGGCTGGAAGCAGACTGCCGACAACACCTGGGTAATGATTAGGGCCAGGTGACACGACAGCAGAAAGAGGAGCGCCGTCTTGAGGTTATCACTCAATCTGCTCGCCTATAATAAGAATAGCATGGCTATAAATGGAAACTTTACTTATGCCACGATTCAAAAAACAGATCAATCATAAATTATCTAAAAGAAAACATTAATTTTCACCAAAATAGAAAACGTATATCGACTGCGGGCAATTTTTGTGATGTTGACAGATCACAAAGAGAGACTTTAACACTTTGAAATGAGAGTTTAACTTACCGAGTGGAATATGTTTGTGAGTGAAACGTTTCTGAGTATCTGGAGAGAACAGGGTAGCGCTCCCAGTGCTGATGCGAGACCAAGAGGGGAGAGGTGGCGTCCGTCAGGTAGAAAGGGCTCGAAACACACTGGCTGGCGCACACACGGCTGAGGCACGTATGGCATCACTCCAATACTACAATCAAACGAGCGAAATGACGGCTGATATTAAAGAGCGGAGCATGAAGTATCGGATAATCATTAGAAATGGCAAAAAAAATGAAAATTGAACATAGCCAACCGACAGTTGGAAAAAAGTTAATGTACGCAAGATAACATTAAAAAAATACTCACTTCAACTTTCGAACTTCGAAGATTAAATAGATGTCTTCAAAACTCTTTGAATTTCTAGAACAAACTATAATTTAATATAATTAGAGAAAACCAGGTAAAACTTACCAATTTGTATAAATAGGTAATCTTTTTATTTAATCTTAAAATTAAATTCCGTTTACGAAACTAGAAATCAATCACGTTTTTTGTGACCTTCACGTTTTTTTGTCATTTAATCTAAAAGGAGTTTGCTTACCTTTTATCAAAAGTAATGAACTCAAAAGAAATCAAAAGGCAAACCGCGAAAAAGTAAATTTGAGCATGGCAAATTTTAAAACTTTTCCTGAAAAAAAATCATATGAACCTATATAAGAGTCTGAACTACGTTCATTGACTCTAAATAACTCTTAAAACTTACTATTAATAGTCAGGTATATGCGTTACATAAACATTTCAAGAGGATATTCGCAGCATGTTAGACTCAAAAACGCCATAAAACACTCAAAAACGCCATGAGACGAATTAATTTCAGAGCATGACAAAGAAAAACCGAATGTTTTGCAATTCCATATCCCTAAAGGATAAGATGATAAAAAATAGTGATGATGAATGTGGTGGTCTAACCTGACGTCTGATTGTAAGAATATGTCGATGTTGGTGACGTTGAGCGAGCTGCCATACACACAGACTATCTCGCTGTTCTCCTGCATGATATTCACCATCTCTTTCGTCGCTATAATCACAACTACCCTTCATAAGACCCACCATAGCCAAAGGTGACATATAACCCCACGAGTGATTGAAAAAATCAGCCTGAATAATTAATTTGTTTGATATAGAAGGGCACCTAAATTTCAGAATTCCTTTATTTCACCAAGTAGACAAATCAATAGTATCATCAGCTACCATTAGACCATAATGATCATTCACTAGTAACAAGTGGAGAGAAAAAAAAACAGTCAAATCACAAAGAAATTGAGCTCATAGCGGAAACGAATAGATAATTTCACTTTGGCGAATCCAATCATTAGAAACAATTCAGCACATCATCTTTGTGAATTCAAAAAATTATGTACACAGAGGTGAAGCTGAGCTTCGTACCACTTGCAAGACAACAAGTGCCGGGTTAAAACAGCTCAAGAAAAAGCGATTTCGAACAACGTTACCCTTAAAAAACCCTTAAAAAAACAACGTTACCCTAAAAAAATTTCATAACTTATATCTAAAAATTGTAGAAAACATTATATTCAGCTGAAATATTTTGGCGGAAGAAAATCGATCAAAACATATATGCACTAAACGCAAGGTGGTAGACATATTTCAGAAACTAAACCGAGAGCTGAATCGACAAGACTAAAGCCGAAAAAACATTAACCAAAATAATAATATCGAAATTCTATAATTATCCATGCAACCAGATGTATCAAAATGTATGAAAATAGTTTTGAAAAAAAAAACATACCTAGAAAATAGAAGGCGAAAATTTTAAGTTTCCATCTCCCTCAAAAAACACAAAACTTTTCGCTCATCAAACGGCACAATAATGAGTCCATTAAGCAGGCCTCTAGGCTGAAATAGAGGACAAAAAAACAAAAAGCAAAATTTTAACAAATCGATTTGGAAAAATTACACCATCATAAAAAGCAAATTTTGAAAAGCACGGATATTTAAAATACTAAAAACTCAATACATGCATAATATTTGCGACAGAGGATTTCAACAAAAGAAATGGGTGAATGATTTCAGGGGTGAGTCATTTACTGGAAAAAAAAGTCCAGTACCCGATTGCACTACCCTTGCTTATCACAAGGGTAATGATCTAATTTGCCACCAAATTGCGATCAAGTTCCCCAAAAACAGTTGAAGCCGGAGTTGAAAGAACATACCTTCTGGCGTACAATCTGTGAAGAGCGGAACTAACAGGGGTACATTGTCCACGTGTTCCAGGTGAGGCCTGATATTTTCAACTCCCCTGGGTAACTTTGCCCTATTTGAGAGGTCATAGAGGTCATCGAACATAACACCTTCTGTACCTGCTAGACTACCCATTCCAAAAGACTGCTCTGATGTCCGTGAAATTGCATCATCTTGCATATGGGTAGCTTGAGATACGATAGATCCCGTTCTACTCAATTTTCCCCTCTGTTTGCTAAAGCTCTGAGAATTACTATTGCTGAAATTGTTGGTAGAATTACTGAGAAACTGTTGATGATTATGCTGACTGGTATTGTAAGTAGGATTTAGTAAAGCTACCGAGGCATCATTTTGATCGTGGTTAAACTGTGACTCGCCTCCTGTAAGCGTTGCGTAGCGTCTGACAGGAACTGGCGGTGCATTCTTCCTCGGCGGATTGGATCGCAAAGATGTATTGTGGATTCCGCCACTCTGCTTAAGCTGATGCTGATCAATGGCATCCATTGGACTTTTAGCTCTATTGGATAATAAAGTGTTATTGGATCCATGATGACTAATATTTGTGTTTTGAGCATTTGAGTTATGATGACATTGATTGCAAAGTCCGTTCACGCCTCCCTGAGTGTGACTCGAGTGTTGCACGTTGTTTGGGTTGTAGCAGCACGGTTGCGTGCATACCTGCTCTGTTACCTTTTGCAAATGATTCACTCCTCCCGACATAGTATTGGACTGTGAGATTACCTGGCAGTTGCTTTCAATACTGCTGCATTGACTTTCAATCCCGCCACCTGGAACTACGCGATTATGATTGGCGGCCATTAAAGCGTTCGAGTTGTTCAACGTTGAGCACTGATAACAGTAATCTATTGGCGAGTTTCCGCTTCCACTGAGGTCACAAGAGGGCGTATCAGTTGCCATGCCTCTGGACAATGGATGTTTCTGGTGTGTATTAGCTTGGCAGTTATTGGACATCATCGGATGATGATGCGGTGAATTAGAACTGGTTTTTGCATGGTTGTAGGCTAATTGGACAGTGCGCGAATTAGCGGCAAAATGGCCACCTTGGAAATTATGTGAGTTGTGCATGCCTCTTGGATTAGGAAGTGGCGAAATGGCGCCTGATGATGTTTCAGACATGGATCCCGGACTCATTGGTTGCAACGAAATAAACTCGTCTTGTTCGGTAATCGCATCACGTGTGTCGGTTCCGACTGAATACATTGGATGATTCTGCGAAACAACTCCCGGATGTCGATAGCTCATTCCTGAGGTCATATTAACTTCTTCTTGAGAGTGTCGTTTCTGGCTCTCTAATTTTTCCAGCCGTCCAAACATCTCGTCTAAACCTGCTTCCTCGTTTTTCAGACTACTCGAGTCTTCTTTATCGTTGTTTGCCGTTTGGACACCAATCTCGACATATTTACGAGAAGCCTAAACCAAATTTCTTAATACGTGAACTTTCATTAACAACATACAACAAAAAGTATATAACCCATTTCAAATTTCGGAAGTTTCCTAATTCTACCAACTATTACAGGACAGTTTTAAGTCATGCAGGTACGCTTTGGTGGCACGCCTAGACACTCAGTGCGCTTAACACATATTACGCATCAAATAACAGTTTCAAAATCAGTTGAAAACAACAGTTAGTACAAAAAGTAAACATCTAACTATAAACGCGTCAGGCTGCTGCAGGTACTGAGGTCTCGATTGGTGGAATTGAATTTCAGGCGCTTTAAGATGAGTACTTGTAAAGCCATATGTGCTAGTCGTGACCGCAAGTGCGCCTTCGTCACTCGCCATTGAGCAAATTCCAGATGTTCCGCTGTCTGCCAAACCTCCCGCGACGCCTGGTGTTGTCGGATGATTATTTGCTGAGATATCACAATTATCCGAACGCTTCAAACTATTCGCGCACTTCGGATCCCGACATAAAACGACATTACTGACATCGTGAAATAATCCAGATTTTCTACTCGGGTTAAATTCGGCTCTGTGGGGCTGTCGGCTAGAAGTCCCAAAAGGCACCGTGGAAGAAACAGTGGCAGCATTATCAGCACAGACGTCCAATTGAGTTGAACAGCATTGACATTGGACTTGGAATGAATTGGCCATTGTTGAATTTCGGCTAAGTGGACGTGCTTTGGCGGAAGAATTATAATGCGATGAATTTAGGCGTTGTGATTGGTCGAAATTGAGATTCGAATGTTGAATACGAGGAGAGTCGGATGCTTCGGGAAAGTACTGACGAGCTTCCTAAGAGGCAAATATCTCTGTTCTACAACTACTTTTTGTTATTTGTGGAAAGACAAAGTCAAAATTTCATTGCAGAAACAAAACACAGAAAGCAGCGCGCGTGACAAAACAATAGTGTTGAGTGCTTATTGCTCAAGTAACAAGGGTTAAATTTAAACGCGAACTTCAATAACGTCCAAAAAAATCAGCGAAAAGAGCATGCAATAGGGGAAACACGCAGAGATATTTAGCTATAGATCAATTAAGCTAGCTAACAGAAAAATGCAGTAAACCAATAGAGAGGTTTCTGTTCGGTTAGATTGTTTTGTTGCCGCCACTTACCTTGAAAGTACCCTGGAACGAGGGATTTCGCGACATGCCGTGATGAACTTCTGCATTTGGGAATTGCGAATGATTGTGTGTTACATTCACGTTATGAGGGTGTTGATGCTGATTATGAGGCTGATGCTGTTGCAAGAAGGGTTTTCGGTCATTAACCTCCGCTTGGTGCTGTTGGCTTGGATACTGTCCGTGCTCAAAGTGTTGTGACCTGGTGAGAGATCGTTGGCTGTGATGATGACTCAAGTTTCCTCCATCAATCGCGTCTCGACTTCGATGAGAACAGACTCGTTCCATAGTCGGTCCTACAGAATGCGAGACCCTATGAGCCATTGCAGGAGAAGCTGGTGTAGAAAGAGAACCGTTAAAATCCTCAGTTGCGACATCACGCGATCTAACTTCCTCGTTATTCCCCGAGTTGATATCAATGTTATTTTGACTCTGTTGTAACGTTTTCAACTTCTCGTTTGCTTGAATCACATTTTGCGCAAATGAGCGCAAAGTAGTCAAACTTGCAGCTTTTGAGGAGTGTTCACTAGAATGAGGTTCGCCGTTTGAACTTGAAGCGTAAAGAGACACGTGACAATTCCAGCCAGTCTCGAGACCGAGCTTTTCGGCAAAGATCCGCGAGCGCAGTTCATTCTCGTGGGAGAAATGAACAAACCTAATGCATCTGGACTCGAAATCCTCGATCAAGTCTAAAACATCTGGCATGGCTTTGTACTGCATTACAACCATCCCCAGAAAAATTTGTCCTGATTGCGCCCTGAAAAACAATTCAACTAATTAATTGATTAATCTTCGAACCAGTCATAGATCCGTCGGAGTGGTCAAAAACGCATTCATAGTCGCATTTCACGATAAATTAGTAATTTCATGATCATATTTTTTAACGTTCTTTTCGATAAATCATGATTTTGGATACTTGAATCAAACCAACTTAGCTAGTCCTTTCGCGTCACTGACGAAGTCGGTCGAATGAACGTTTTCCATTTCAGCAGCCGCGCTAAAACAAATAGGGTTTTAATTCATAATTTCCTATACAAATGATTTCAGGAGCATTAAAAGGGAATACCATGTCCAATGGTTCATTTCATCTTAAACTCCGAAATTCCAACTTCATTAAAAATTCAACGTTTACACAGGGGCGAATCGGAGCTTTGTATCATTTGCGATACACAAATATTTGCAAGTGATGACAGGCGTAGAAAATGGACTGTGAAAAACTGCCACATTTTTTAAAAATTTAGAAGTATTCAAGAGAACGCACAATATAGTTATTGTCTAACACACTAATTACTCATCAAAAAGAGTAAATTAAACAAACTCAAACCGGCAAGATAATCATTATAAAAACGTGAAAAATCTTGCAATCAAAAAAAATATTATCAATTCGCCTATCGCAAGTAAAAAAATTTCAAGCAGAGCTCCATTCGCTGTTTTCCCGTGACTGAGATAAGAATGTAAGCAGAAAAAACATTGCATCTCTTGGCAAAACTCTCAAAAATCAACTACTTGCACCATTGCACACAGAGACGAAGCTGAGCTTCGTACCACTTGCAATACAGTAACTGTAGAATTAAAGCACCATGACGCTCAATAAGGCGCAATCAGAAATTCGAGCAATGTTACAATTGAAGGAAAATAAAAATGTTTTAAAAAAAGTAACTTTTTTCACATTTAAATTAGTTGACAGTTTTCAAAGAAGTCCAAGTGAGGTTGACTTTGGGCATTCAAATATTGGTAAGAGTGCTATCAATCTAAAAATCAATAAAAGACATTTTAAGGGAAAAGAACGGCAAACAGGCCGACAAAATTGAAGCCGACATTCAATAAGCTGATTCTCAGCCGGAAATTTTCTTCAGAAAATCAACTTGCACAAAATTATGTAACGCCCACATAGGATCCAAATGACTATTCAAGTAATGGATGCTAATTGGACAACAGAATTTGGAAACTAAACCGACAGAGCTTAAGTCGACAACCATGAAGCCGAAAAACCATCAGCAGAAAATGAATATCGAAACTCTATATTTAAAAAATAATGGTTTGCGATCTTTATATAGCATTTACCAGTAAGAACTACTACCCAAAAGTTAAATCTGATTTTTCATGTAATTCAGCGTGTCAGCAGCATAGCAGCAAGTTATTCAACTGATTTTGTTAAACTGCGTGTTAACTCAAAAAAGTCTACATTCCGATTTCAAGACGATTGCTGATCGGAACCTTAAAGAATACATAGAACGGATGTTGAAATAAATTTTAAAAAAAACTTTAACAATTAGAAAACTCCGTGCTGCGGCGAATAAGCCGACAAAATAAGAACGTAGTTTCAACCAAACGCACAGAGTATTGTTGAGATAATAAGAAAATCGACTGAGCCGCGCTACAGCAATTAAGCCAACAAAAAACCAAAAGAGAAACAATAAGGTGACAATTATTCTTCTGAGCCGAAACTTCCCAATTAGCAAAAAGAACGACTTCCGTAGTGCCACCTTTGGACGTTAACTCTAGACCAAACAAGCCTAATAGAAAGCGGATCGTGAATTTATAACACTGAGTTGAAGCGGAGCCTCGCACCACTTGCGATATCGCACAAAAACACCATTTCAAGCTAGCAAAAAAAAGGAAATGAAAGCCATGAAAACCGAAAAAAAAACAATTACATTGTTTTCACTATTTTGTTTCGAATGATCTTCAATTTGAAGAGAACATGTCCGGCAGTACAAAGTATTCAGGAACATTTATCAAGCGGCAATTAAATAGAAAAAACTTTGGTAAGTTGAGCCGAAAACAAAATTGTTGCCATGAAAAAAAAACTACCAAGATTTAAAAATCTTAAATTTTTAACCGTAAAGGTTGTCATCAAACGGTGCAATTTTAGGTCACTAAGCCAATAACACAGTAAACTAAACCATTTGGGCCAAAAAAAAATAACAGAAAATAAAGAAAACATGCAAAGTCAGTAAAACATACAAAGTGGGAAAATCGCTTTCAACGCAAGAAATTACTTACAGCAGGTGGTGTGGCAAATAAACCATTAAAAGACGATCAGACAATTAATAGGCCGACATTTTTTTCAAACGCATAATTTTCATTTAAAAAAAAACAGGTCCTCATCGGTTTCGAACCTAGGACCTTTGCCAGCCCAAGTCATTGCAAAAGCCAAACATACCAAAGAAACCAAAAAAATTGAATTGATTATATATTAAGAATAGCGTGTAACGCAACCCGGTGATTCTAATTGTTAACAACTCATAAAAACCGCATATATTGGAAATAAGATCTGCATCCTTTGAGTGTACTCTGACAGACCCCAACTACAGGGTTAGGAATTTCAATTTTTTAAAAGTTATTAATTTTAGTTTTCTTTAGAAAATCACAAAAAATCACAAAATTTGGATTCAAAACTCGCAACTCCAGGGAGTACCCTGAAAAAGCCTCATTATATAGATGTGAACCTCAATTTTGTGAAATTTTTATATCTAATTTCTTTAAATCTTTTAAAAATCCTAGAAAAAAGGTCAAATCTTGAAAAAAAACAAGGATTTGAGCAGTCATATTCAGAGGCAAGATTCACATCTCCTGAGAGTACCCTCACAGTTTCCAACTACAGGATTGAGATCTTCGAAGTTTTTGAATTTTTTTTAAATCCAAGTTTTTTTAAAAATGCAACCACTGAGAGTACCCTGACAGCCCTCAACTACAGGATTGAGAATTTCAAACTTTCAGAAATTTTTAAAAATTATCTTTCCTAGAAATTTTTAAAAAATCTCGAAAATTGCCGATCTCGTAACTTAAAAGGGTTTGGTTATTCATATATGGAGGCCAATATCGCAACACCCTAGTAAAGCCTGATATCCTCCTACTATTGGGTTAAATACTTGGTGAAATAAACACTGAATTCAAACAGGAAAATAAAAAAAAATCTTAACCATTGCAATATCCGATATAGCTTAATCGTGAAAAAATTCTTTTGATAAACATGCAAAAATAATAGCTTGAAAAAGCTTAAACATGGCGAGAGAGTGGAGCCCGCATTTAAATATAAAATAAAGATCAAGTGATTTTAAAAAAAAATTGTTAACCTGAAAAAACCTGTATTCCGATTTGATAAAGCTTGCTAGTCGCAAGCGTAAATAGAGTACTCAATTTATCAAGTGATTTGATAAACAAGTTTTTGCCCAGAGACAAAGCTGCGCTTTGCAAGCAATAGCAAAAACACGACAAAAAATCAGCTTTATAAAGTGAACTAAGAAAAAATAAAAAAAAGCCTCGAAGTAGCAAAACTTCGCTACGTATCGGATACGATCCTGCGACGTATCGGATTCAATCCTGCGACATCGAGATTTGGAGTTAACAACCAAAAAACACTAGTCACAAACAAAGCAGCTATATGCTACTAATTTGCCAATGCCATGCAGCAAAAGGGGCACCAAATACATATAGACACAATTTGACTTGTAATAATTTGGAATACATAACAAAATCAAAATTTGCTATTTAGTTTATAAAATAAGAATAGTAGTTATATTTCACTACGCTCACTTAAGTTCGCTAGTGTAAACATGGAAAAGGTTTTATTCAGATTTGATAATGCTTGCTAATCGGAAGCATAACAAGAGTAATGCACGTAGAACTATTGAAAACATTTAATGTGTTCTAGTCTCACTTTTTTCCTCCAGGAAGCTCCAGGTAGAAATTATCCAACACCTTTGAGAAATCCGAGAACACTGGACGATATGCAAAGGCTGTGCAGTAAGCCGACAGTGAAGCTCTGGTGTAGAAATCATGAATTTTCTTCCTTAATTCTGGGGTGAGAGGGTGGATTCCCTTTCCATCCCAGAAATCAGGACATACGTCACAGAGCATATCAGCTGTACCTTGCGTGAACAACTGCTGGAGACCAGTTGAAGTGTCGTGAACGACAACTGAGCACAAAAAGGGGAAAGGAGTTTTCTTTCGCAGGATCGCTTTAATTCGTCTCACTTTGAAAGTGTCGCTCGGGTCGAATGGTTGGGACTCCCTGAACGACTGGATGTAATTCTTCACCTCGTAGCTCTCAGTAGCGTTTTTAGCGAATCCAATCGCTTCTGACAACTCACATGCACATCTAAATATTTCAACAATCTTCAATTTGCTGACTCTTAAAAAATTCTCAGGCAACTTATTGAACTTCAGTTTTTCACAATTAGATCAACTAAGTTTCAGATGTATTTATACTTTGTTGATATCATCAGCTTCGATTTTTGTTTATGTTGAAGCGAAGAAGGAAAGAAGTAGATGATAGAATAAATCAATTCAGCGTTGAATAGGTGCAATTAGCGTACTGGGAGAATATTATTCAATAAGTAACAAACAGGAAATCTTGAAAAAAGATTTCATTTCATTACTTCGAATTAACCTACGAAAGCCATCATTAACCCCAATCAGATATATGAAACCAAAGGCAGATCTAGGATTTTTTGAGGTGGTGGAGGATTTTCAAATGAGGATTTTTTTAAGTTCGACCAAATTGATTTTCCGAGCGCTCCCAGAGCTTTATAAAGGCCCTATTTTGACAAAATTTTCTGCGCCACAAGCAAACATTTGAAAAAAAAACAGGTAAAAAATGAATGGTTTTTTGAACACTTTTTGGAAAATTTTGGCCAATAAAACGCTTGTTTATGGCCGCGCTCTCCGTCAAAATGAGTATGCATTGGCACCGTCAGCGCCCTTAAAAATTTAAGGGTTGGTCGGTCGAAGATGGATATCATAAAAATACCAAAGGGGGACCCTTTGCTTGACGAGGGGGTCGAATCCTTGAGGGAGAGGGAGTCCGCCCCCCTAAATCCGCCCCTGCTTAAAACATCCACAAAACTGTACATGGGAAAACAATTTTAGAAAAAAAATTTTTACGCATTTCTTAGTTTTTAAACACATTTTTTTTCTTACCTTATATAACAATCGCGCAGAACTCAAAAGAAGCATTCAAAAAAGATAGAAATCAATTTCTACAATTCAGTTGGAAGCGGTGACAGGCAAAGCATCCATTTTTTAAAACTATAATGAATTCTATACCCTTAGAAATAACTTCAGCATGGTTTTCTTGAATAAACTATCTCGCTGAAAAAAGTTCTCATACCGAACCTCATTTTTCGAAGTAGTTTTGCATATTTTTTCATGTACAATGAGCGCGCGTGTGGAACACAGAGAAATATATTTTCGAGCATCGTTGCATTCTAGACAATTGCAGTCAATATTAAAAACAACCATACTAGACTTCATCGTTCCATCAATTAAAAACAAACAAGCAGCAAATAAAAGTACCCGTATTTCTATCTAAATTGATCACAGTTCCCTTGTTGCAGTGTTAAAACTGTTTTGGTATCAAACCACAATGCCATTATTTTTCTTAAAAAAGTGCTTGGAAAACAAGTTATGGAAACTTATTAAGAAGACATTTTTTACATCCATTGGTTAGGCTGTGACCAACCAATATGTTCAGATACTTCATCCATAACCACATGAGCGCAGAAAATTTAGAGGCTGCTCGCTTACCTACTCTGAAGCGCTCTGGTCCAGCTGAATGAGCAAGATACATATTAACTTTACGCACAAGTTCGAACAATCATGCAAAATCAGAAATACTTTAAATACAATGAGGTCTTCCATTGAGTATACGAAAAAAAAACCACAAAACGACAATAGCTGAAGAATGTTAAGTATGCTAGGTTAGATCTGGAAGCTTATAGTTCTACAGTTTGATGACAGTTAAATTGATTACACCTTGAGTAATGCTTCTCACCTTCGGTTGACGACAGCGACTGAGTGGTTTTCAAGCGAGCTCACACAAAGAAGATGGTCGGCAAACTTAGTGTAAGAGTCCTCCACATATTCATTACACGTGTTCAGAAGAATGTTTAACCCTAGAGGCTTCAACGAAGGCAGATGCTGTTGCCACCTTTCGTCGTCGAAGTGAACGAAAAAGTTTTCATTCTGGTCACACGATAGGTCCATCACTTCTGGAACGTACACAGCATTCAAACTTCCATTTTCCGAATTGCGGTCATCATTCCGCCTGCCCCCAGCCGAGTCAGCGGGTGACACCGTGTCATCTGGTTGCTCTACCGGCCGAATGAAGAAGACGCGTTCCACTTTCGGGTTCGGCCACGAGAGCACTCCTCGTTTGTCGACTACGCTGAAAATGGTTGTGGATCCCAGTCCATATAGGAGGTTTGAAGTCCTCGAGAGGCTGGGAGACATTCCACTGATTATGGATATGAAGTGTTTCCAGGAGAACTTGAAGTGGTAACAGGACCCTCCGACTGATTCTCCGCGAACCACAGAACCCTGAACAAATATCCTTTCAATTAATCTCAATAAACTTTGAAGAAAATGAAACATTTACACTTTTTGCAATTTAAATTGAATTGGAGCAGCAGGTTTCATTCACAGATTCTTCGCTTCTATTAAGAAGCAGCGTATTATAAAATTATAAACATAGCAAACAGACAGTTAACGAGTCGATGAACGCAAATTTAGAAAAAAACTGAATTGTTTTTTGAAGAAATCTCAACTTTCGAACTTCAAAGAAAACAATAGATGCCCTTCAGGCTCTTTGAAAATCTAGAATTCTAAAACAAAATATGATTGGCATTTTTCGATAAATTTAACCCAATATGAGAAAACTGAATCGATAGGTAAAGAAGTTTTTATTCTTCTTTAAAAAATCCACTTTCGAAACTAGAAGTCGACCACGTGGATCAATTGAGCAATCTCCCCCCCGTAATGACCAATTGAGCTATCTCCCCCCCCCCAGCAAAAACGAATAAACTCTTCAAAAAGACGTCAGCAAACAGAAGTAGATGGATGTTTTGTTTATAGCACGCAATCATTTGACCGACTGAAATTTTTTTTATATGAGTATCGAGAAAAATTTTGAAAAAAAAAACCCGAAATTTATGAAAAAAATCTTTTTTTTTTGCAAATTTTTGTATAGGCGACCATAGCCTCATCGAGGAAAGCGATTTACCAGGGTTGGTGCTCTAGCCTTGTATCTGAATAGCAAAAACGGTTCTCCGCAGCACCTTAATGTTGTACGCAAAAGCTTTTTGTCATTTTAAGAAAGAAAAAAGTCGCTTTTTATGCCTGATTTATTGATTCTTTTTTCTATTTGAATAAAACTTTTGAGCTTTGATATTGTAAATTTTGGCTTTCCACAGTCGTTGGAAAATATGGTTTATGATTTCATGTCATTCAAACTATTTTCAAGTGGTTATAAACATGTCTCAAGTACCTATTGAGCTATCTCCCCCCCCCCCCCCCACGCGAGAATGGGGGAGAGATTGCTCAATTGATCCGACCACGTTTTTCGTGAACTTAACACTTTCGTTGTTCGATAATGGAGTTTGTCTTCCTTCTAAAAAAAAGGAAATGAACAGAATTTAAAAAGAAATCAAAAGTCAAACCGCTTAAAATTAAATTTGAACGTGAACAAATTTTAAGACCTTTCAAAAAAATTCATTAAGATCTATATAAGGGTTTTCACAACATTCCTCGATTCTTAATAATACATAAGCCCTCGCAAACCAAAATAGGGTCATGCTCGTGCAAACGCGGAAAATGGGTCAAAACTGGTACAATCTCTGAATTAACATGCGCTGATCGTAATGCTCTCCTATATGTAACATTCTGCTCTCCTATTAAGAACGCTCTAGAAAACTGACCTGTTGTTGGCATGATGCGAGAAGAGAGGCAGTGGTAAGTGCAGTCCACATGAGCCACAGCACTGGGAACAGAAGAGGTACCAGTGGGATCAGAATGTAGATCTAAAAAGCAGCAACAACTGCAGATACAACGAAACTATTTGAAAAGAGCAGCCGTGGCTCTCAACACGAGGGTCATGCCTTCGAAACCCAATTCGGTCACGGTTGGAGGGGTCCCAGTGTCATACGCCTCCTCAAGACAGGACCGGCTTCGGGGAAATGGATGACATCATCCTTCCCCAAGGTTGCTCCTGCATTGCGCAGGGCCGGGGGCTAATACAAAAAATATTAGAAAAATGTTTTACTAATATCAGAGGAAAATAGCAAAATTATGACACAATAAGGAAAAAAATAAGCGAAACTCCCCAAGAGATTCACTTCTATGTCACATACAGGGTCCATAGGAGAAAATTTTCCAAAAACAGCCTAAAAATGTCATTTTAAGATAGCCTTTTCAAAAATTGTCCGTAGTAAACTTTTACAACGCAAAAAACTTTAACAAAATGGGGTCTAAATAGTGTTTTGGGGAGCTCGGAAAACGAATTTGATCAACCTAAAACATAATCGCAAAATTATAAATTTTTTGTTGAAAATCCGCCGCCCCCTCGAGAAAATATTTTAGATCAGAGCCTGAGTGGATATAAACAAAAACGAGGATTATACAAAAAAGATCGAAGAATCTATTTTAAAAAACAAACGGATTCCATTGCCAATTGTTATTTTGCTTTTCCTAGAATTTGAGTTTGGTGTGGTAATGGCTTAAGCATTTTTTTGTCTATACACTACAACAACTGCGTTGCTTCACAACTGCGCTTATAATCACAGAAGCCCCCACCCCTTAACTTAAATTAGAATTTTGATAAAAGATTTCGTGCTTTAAATATTTATAGGGACACAAACTTGCGGGGAGTCCAAACTGCAAATAAACCAATATTGCTGTATTTTTATTTGTTTTTTAGGGTTACCGAAATTGAACCAACAAAACTGATTCATCTGGCAACTATTGCATTTCCTCTCCTATGCAGCATGTTATTTATAGAAATTTGATGTTTAAAATATAGTAATAAAACCTTAACCGTTTTAGATTTTACTTGAAGAGGACAATTTTATTGAAGGTATTTCTACAGCTTTTAAGAATTTATGGATTTAAATGGTTATAAAAAAACGAAATCGATTTCTGCGGCAGATGATTGTTTTGTTGAAACCTTATCCAAAAAAAAAAACAGAGGCATATTTTATGAGCATTTATCACTCCCCAAAATCGATTAAAACGACTAAACTTCATTAATTAAACTGACAGAAAGAGTCATAATACATCAAGAGGCTTTCCAAAAATAAACAACATTCAGCTGGTGAAAAGTATTCTTTTTGAGGTAGGAGATATCCAGGGAAGGATACGGCTTTCTTGGAAATCAAATATAACTTTTAACTTATGACGTAACAAGGATAGGCGATTGCTGTGGATGTGGAGATCATTCCGACTACACTAATGCAAGAAAAAAGGTTCAACAAAAGAGGAAGAAAATTTTTTTATTTCACGTTTTCCTTAAGTGCGGTTATTTTTGTTTATTAAAAGGTGACTGAATTTTAAAAAACTGCAAGAATGAAAAGTATTATCCCTAAAAGGACCATAAAATTTAAGTAATTTTTCAGAATCCGAATCACGAACAATAGGGTTTTAACATGATATCCAAATTGAACCCCTACGAGCTTTCCTTTAAAATTAAGAATTGGAAAAAAAAACGGTCCCTACCTCTTCGAGAGTGGTCAGAACAATGATGTCATTGTTCACGCAAAACAATATATAATCAATCTGTATTATCAGAGCAAAAAACATCAAAATAAGCCTCTTAATTAGCCGACAAATTAAACAAAATGCTTAACAGTTGTCTGAAAGCAAAAGAAGAATAGTGAGTATATTGCCGTTTATATAGTAAACATAAATAGCCGACAGACAGATGTAAAAGAGTCAATGAACGCAACTAAACAAAACAAAAAAAAACATTTTCACTTTTTATAATTAAAATTGGATTAGAGCAGCAGGTTTCATTTATAGAATCGGCGCTTCTATGAGGAAGCAACATATTATAAAATTAAAAACATAGCAAACAGACAGTTAGAAAAGAGTCAATTATCGCAAGAAAACAAAAAAAAACTTTCGAATTTGAAAGAAAAAAAGACGTATTAAAGCTCTTTGAATTTCTTGAACAACTACGCTTGGTAAGTTTTTGGTGAAGTTAGCCCAATTTGAATAACTGGATCAATAGGAAGAATTTTTATTTCGCTATGAAAATCGATAATTAAATTCCACTTTCGAAACTAGAAGTCGACCAAGCTTTTCGTGACCTTTACACTTTCGCTAATCGATAGTAGACTTTGCCTTACTTTTAGCAAACGAAATCAAAAATCAAACCGCAAAAAAAATTGAGCCTGAACAAATTTCAAGACTTTTCCTGAAAAAAAACTTTAAAAAATCATCGCGACCTAAATAAGAGCCTGATCTGCGTTCAGCGACTCTCAAAAGGAAACTAAAAAATATAAATATAGTGATTAACCATAACAGGAGCAATTGTCCAAATCTTATTCAATTAGAATAGAAAAATAGATTTTCCGGTTTAAGAAAATTCGAGAAAAACTATAAAACCTAACTTATTGTTTATTCAACGTTAATCAATAAACAAATGTGATTGGCTTAGATTTAATTCAAAAATTTTGAGCTACAATGAAAAAGACAAAAAACTCAAAAGATAGCCAATCGAAGATTGGAAAGGAGTACTGAACGCAAGTAAACATAAAAAACAGTGACTTTGTTGAAAAAATCTCAATTTTCGAATGTCAACAAAAATATATTGGCCCTTTAAGCTCTTTGAATTTCTAGAAAGATTTATGAGTGGCGCTTTTTGATAACCTTGATCCAACATGAAAAAACTGGATCAACAGGTAAAGTTTTTATTCCCCACGAAATCTAAAAACTAAATTCTACTTTCGAAACTAGAAATCGTTCACTTTTCTCGAGCCATTTCCACGTTATTATTTGGAGAGTGCTATTTACGTCACTTTCAGCAGATGAATTTTAATTGAACTCAAAAAGTGCGTGCATTCATAAATGCATCAATATGTATGAATGCACATCTGTAGCTATTAGAGCATTTTAAGATTTTCTGAAAAAAAAATTACCAAGACCTATATAAGAGTCTTCACTGCGTTCATTACTCTTAACAATTAGCAATTAACGACATGGTAATGACAAAAAAATGTGGATATGTAAATAATTGTTAAACGCCTAAATAAAATTCAATATAATTGCTTCGACATAGCCATCAGACAGCTGGAAAGAGTCAATCAACGAAAGTAAACAGAAAATACTGACTTGTTTTTTGAAATCTCAACTTTCGAATTTCAAAGAAAAAATTAGACGCCCTTACAGCTCTTTGAATTTTTAGATCAATTAATGATTGGCGTTTTTCTGATAAAATTAACCCAGTTTGAGAAAACTGAATAAAAAAAAAAATTTATTTCGCTGGGAAATCTGAAATTCAATTCCCTTTTCAAAACTAGAAGTCGATCGCATTTTTAATGACCTTTAGACTTTGCTGTTCGGTAGCGCATTTTTTTTTCATTTTCACATAGGAAATGAATGAATCTAAGAAAAATAAATCAAACCGCAAAAAAAAATCAAACTTGAGCCGGAACAAATTTTAAGACTTTTCCTGAAAAAAAGATCATCACAACCTATATAAGAATATGAACTACGTTCATGGACTCTTAAAAAATGTTTTAAAAATCAGTGTGTTTATTGTATTTTGCTCAAAAAGAAGTCATTCTTATAATCAACAACACAGCAAATAACAGAAGTTCGACAAAATTTGCTTGCAACATTTAGGAAACAAGGTCTAGATTGTTGATAATAATTTTGAAACTCTAACATTGATTATACTACTAACAACCCGTTTTAAGTATAATGGCGTATGCTTCATTCAATTCTTATTGAAACCTCACCAAGAATTTGCCAAACCGGTAATTTTTGACCAAGGAAAAATATTGTGGAATCAAAAATAATATCGATGGTTGAAAAATTTATACATTGATTTTTCTGAACTCTCCTGAAATATAAAGATACATAGTTGCAGGGAAGAATGGCAGGCAACCGAATACCTAACAAACAGTCAAAGTATATCGGTGACCACCACCATTCAATAAGGATTTTACAATAAATTGTCAGTTTCAACATTCTTCGAGTTGAAGTAAGGCGTGCGTAGTGATTTGATTACTTACTACGGGATACAAATGGACCAAAAAGATTAGACCTTGGGGAAAATTGGACATGAAAAATGATCTGGTTTTTTGTCCAGCGAAGTCATGAAGAATCGAGGTTTAAATGGGCACAAAATGAGATGCATTCGGTCATAATTATAGAGGAAGATGTTCTAGTTCAGGCATACTCGGTATAATGTTTCAAGAAATCATAAAAAATAATAATTGTTTCTACGCTAAGCTTAACGTAACGCAGATTTTTATAGATTTACTAAACAGGGCCAGGAAACAAAAGATAAACGAAAAATTCGTTGGTAAAAGTCACATTCAAATGTGAACATTTAAATACTAGACTAGAACTTCAAAATCGAAAACACTCAAATTAATTTCTCGAAGCAGCATATCACTACGCAGGCACCAAAGTTAACGGCGACCAAACCAACAACTCATTATGTGCCCGATAGTGAGGTGCTGTTGCAAGCAACAGATCTACAGCCTTAAACCAACAATTTATTTATTATTTTTTTCAAAAGATATCAATCTATTTTTTATGGTCATATAGATGAAGTTCGAGCTTTTTCCAATTTATGAAAAATACATTGCCAATTTATTTCAAATAGTAAACAAAACTGTCTTTAAGGGCTGATTTAATGCTATATCTGTTCATTGCATAGCACCTCATCCGACAATCTCTCTAGGCCGACTTGTGTAATGGCCGACTGCTTTCGACTTAATCTCCATTCGAACCAACTTCTAAGAAAAGCTCATAACTCAAGAGAAGGGGTGCTTGCAGCTGGCAAGAGGTGTACAATAGAACTTACCTGTAACATATAGTACATTTCAAGGGCGGAGCCTACATGCCCCCCTATGAGGATATACAACAGGCCCCGGGAGAAGAAGGAAGTGAGCTGAAAAGATACAAAAGGGGGTTAGTGGGTTTCGAAGGGGGATAAAAGACTGACCTGATGCAGGAGGTACATCTCTATTTGATTGCCGACGTAAGTGTCGGATCCGAAGGCAATGAAGAGGACCCCGTTGATAAACAGACCAGTCAACTGAAAGAGCACAGAACACAAGTATACATACGATCAAAATTAAGCATCGTCGGCTCTAGAAAGCTTCAAGTTGTGGTTAAAATCCGGAGCTATCAACATTTTTTGATGCAACAGGGTTCCGCGAAAAAACTCAAATTATCACGTATTAACTACTGGTACTTTACATTAAGCTTCCTGAGTGAGCTAATTATAACTGAAATAATAAAGATAATTTTTTGAATTAATTTTGGGAATCTGAATCACGAGTAAAAGGATTTTAATATGATAGCACTCTGAATGCCGATCGAGCTTTCTATGAGTTACCTGATATAGTCGGAAAAAACCCACGCTTTGAAATGCAATTAAAATTCCCTATTTTTGGACAGATCCATCAAGATATGTAGTTTGCTAGGCTCTGAATCCTTATTGGTATGCAAGAACACACAAAAAAGAATAATCTCATCTTGGACAGAAATTGAACATGACGGGTTCACAATTTCTTTTTAAAACTTGAAAACGCATTAACACACATACTTAGTTTCTCAAACTAAACATGCTCAGCTTTACTTATTCCGAATTTAGAAGAAAGCGCGAAATATTTGAGCTACTTTCGAATTTTCAACTAAACATTTTTAATCGCATTTTTTACATCTGGAAATAGTGTTGTCCTGAACTCAAATTCAAAAAATATTTTAGCTCTGAGTTTTTTTTCGTAAATTAATGGTATTTGAAATTTGCTATTTTGGCCAACTTAGGATAATTAACTCACGATATAATGCGTTCTTATAGCACGCGTAAGCGGCGGATTACTGCGTTCCAAGTTGACTTGAGGTTAGTCATTTGATCGTATTATTAGGACTCCAGATGCTAACTATCGCCCGTTGTAATTTACATTAGCGTGTGGGGAAAATTGAAAAAATAGCCTTTTTTTTGATAATTTGTCAATTTTTTAAGCAAAAAAAACTTTCAAAAGCACCTTAAAGTTCAGTCGAAACATTCAGGGCTTCGCAATGACATACTAGCAGTCTTGTTTCGACCAATAATACGAAAAACCAAAGATTTGATGTTACGTAATTGTTATGTAACAGAAGGCTGCTCGTATATCATGACGCTGAATGTTCCAACTGAACTTTAAGGTCAATTTAAACCTTCATATATCAAGCATTAATTATCGCAAAGTAGGCAATCTAGCATTTTTTAAACCCCCAAAACTTTAAGAAAAATGATCACAGGTAACACAATAATTTAAATTGCGCGTTTTTTAAATTAGCGTGAAAAAAATTCCGTAAAAATTGCTTTGTTAAAAATTCGAAAGTTGACGAAAGTTTCAGAACATTCGCAGAAACTTTCATTGATTAACTTTCAATGAGATAAAAACAAATCGAACACCTATTTGAAACACCAATTATTAAGAATTTTTTTAAAAGGCCGATAAACAAAGCACCAGTAAATATAATTAAGTGCATGTCAGGAAATATTTTAGATGGTATATGAACTAACCGAAGTATAAACCAGCTACCATATAAACCAGCAAAAAATGCTCAGCTGCTAAAAAATAGCTATGTAAAAATTATGAAGCGGTTACGAAAATTGCGAAAGAAGCGGTTACGAAGATGCTAATTACATCCAAATGATATAAATTTCGGCTGGTTTATATGCACTGCGCATTTTCGGCTGGTTTATACTTCGTCATGTTTATTCACAATCTGAGTTTAAAAAAAGTGTATTGACAACTTTAAGTTTTTTTATTTCAGGGTAAAGAATTTCAAACGAAGCTTAGAGGTCATTGACTCTCATTTTTTGCCCTTTATTCTTGAAGTAATTGAACCTTTTTTCATAAAATTTGTAACGGGTCACATTTGCAGGGCAGGTATGTAAAACCATGCCAACTTAGAGCACGTTTGATGTTTCCGTTAATCTGAAAGTTCAAAAAAACTAAACACGGGAGATAATTGTTCCGACGGATTATTTATGTTCTTTTATCATTCAGACTAAATTTGGCAATCAAAATAATAGTTTTGAACGGAAAATTTTTATACTCCATTGCAGATATCGATTTCCTAAATTCAAAAATACAAAAAAGCTTATTAGCGCTTCTAAGAGCTTTAATATATTCTAGAAGCGAAACGAAACTTACGATACATGAACATTAGCACGGAAGCAAGCCGTCAGAAAAACTAGACAATTACTTTTAATCAGAAGAATATTTTCAAAAAAAATCAGAAACTTGTTCTACCAAAAATTTTATATGCTTGTCTCGATTGAAGTTTATATTGAAGAAGAACATATCAAAAGACTATTGTCAGCAGTTAATAGGCATCGAAGCAAAATTAAAAATCGGCAACTAAGATTGGGTAGACGAACGCTGAGTTTAAAAAAATCAAAAGTCAGATACATAAATTTTGAATGCATCGAGATTTCAAAACGCAGACAAGGCTCAATATAAATCTGTGGACCAGATATATCTGCAGGCGAAATGCTTCAATGATTTTTTAAACAACACATTAACCAGAAAAAAATTTACAATCGGACTTGATAACTCTTGCTAATAGTCAAAATAAATATTAAAGCACAAGCGCAAATTACTTATGTATGGAAAACTACTTATCCCAGACTCAAAGTTATTCCAAAATAAATTCAGACAAGCTAATTGGTCACAATAATTCTCTATGCGACTCTATAATAATTTTCTAGCTTATGGCAGATACTTTTATAATTTGGAAGTAGAGTAGGAAAACGAACCAACTTCAAAATATAGAGTTTATCAAAATTTTCATGGCCGAAAACTGTTCGAGACTAATTATAGGGCAGTACGAACGCTCAGCGCTTCACCCTGATGCGAGCAATTGTTGTGTTCCGAATTCAAAGAAAGTAACATATAATATATGCGTGGGTGGTTATAAATAAATGAAAGTAGAGTTGGCGTTGAATCAAACGTTTTTACACAGAGGCGAAGCTGCGTTTCGCAGAAACTAGAGAGAACACAACAAAAAGCAGTTCTAAAAAGTTCAATAAGAAAAAGTAGAAATAAGAACCGAATTCAATTTTTAAAAACGGCTACGTCTCGGATTGGAAGCTACAACCTACAGCGACCTAGATACTGCGAGTCTCAAGCACTAACCACTCAGCCACCACAAACAAAACCAAAGAACACGCTATGCAATTTCCAATGCTACAGTGAAATTTCCATATAAAAGAACACTTTCAATGAACATTTTCATTTGCGACTAATACATTAATACACTAACGCTCACAAGCTCTCTAGTGTAAAGAAAAAAATTTATATAAACCAATGAAAATATCAACTCAAGATGTAAAAAATATATAAATTTATGTGCAATCATTTTTTGAGAAGTTCGGATGTTTTGAAAGCTGCCAGATGGGGCTTATTCTGATCTAATTTATGCGAGCTTTGCATATTTTATCTATGATGCGTATTATCTGGGCGTATTGCGAACTATTTATAGACGACGAGTTATCCCACAATCAAAATTGAATAAAATTGAAACCAGACAATAAGCTAATTGATCATATCAATTCCAGATATGAATCAAATTTTATCACTTGCTATTAGTATCGCAAAATTTGGAGTTTATCAAAATTTTCTATACCAAAAACAATTTCAGACCAGCTAAAGGCCAGTTGGAACACTAAGTGCTTTACTTTGATATACGATAAATCTGGTTATAAAATGTATGCAAAAATAATCATGCAATAGATGAAAAGTTTCAAGCAAATGGATACAGCGATACATTCCTTTCAGCTGATACATTTAGCACCACACTAGGGGACATAATCTTCCAGTTAAACTATAGATCGCATCACTTTGAATGTTCACCCAATATTTTACAATAACTATTCGTTGGTTGCTTTTTTTTTTTTCATTTTCGAATGTCTTCACAGACAGACACTGCTGCCCTACCCTAATAAAAGACCATACTTACCACAGCAATCGGAATAACTTTCTTCTCAATAAAATCGACCACTGCGTATCTCCTGTTATCCCACGCACTCCTCTCCCTACTACTACTGTGTGCAAGACACTTCCTCAGCTGAGTCACGAAGGGGGTCTCCTGCACTACACAGGCTAGTCTGTCCATGGGCGAGTGGAGACGGGCAGTGGGACAGGGGTCTTCTCCTTGACCCTCCAGGGGGTTATAAGTCTCGCCAGGGTTCAAAACTAGTCCAAGCGGGTCCCCTTTGGAAGTGTGGAGCTGAACAAAAAAAAAACAAGTTATCAACAAACTTAATCGATTTCAATTTTGTTATCTGTCAGAGAATGCGTTAGTCCAACTAACTTTTATTTAGTTAAAACATCAGCATCAAAATCGTATTAGCACCAAGAACCCAAACATTCAATGCCTTTGAAGATCAACTTTCATGATATAGTCGAAAACTTTCAAGCTACGTGTTCATCAAAACTGCATATTTAAAATCCGATGCTAAATCTGAAGATAAGTTCTATTATAAAACATGCTCAAACATAGGCGAGAGAAGACAAACATAGCCAACAGACAATAGGAAAAGATTCAATGAACGCAAGTAAATAGAAAAAATGCTGACTTGTTTTTTGATAAAATCTCAATTTTCCAATTTCAAAGAAATGCCCTGAATTTCTAGAAAAAATTATGATTGGCACTTTTTTGATAAAACTAACGCAATTTGAGACATAGAGGCGAAGCTGCGCTTAGCATACACAAGCGAGAACACGACAAAAGCAGCTCTTGAGTTCTAAAAAGTGCAATAAAAAAGTAAAAATAAGCTTCGAATTAGTTAGTAAAAATTCGGTGACATCTCGGACTCGAACCTACGACCTGCAGCGACCTAGACTTTGTGACTCTCACGCACTATTCACTCAGCCACAGACGCTTAGTCCATCTCAAACACTAGCCACAAATAAAACCGAGAACAGATGCTATGAAATTTCCAATGCTACAGATCGCGATTATATCAAAAAACAAATACTTTTAACGAACACTTTTATTTTCGAGTTAGGTTAAAAAACTAAGGTTCGTAGTAAAACGCTAACTGCTCGCTAACGTAAAAACTGAATCAATAAAAAAATTATATTTCGCCGGGAAATTTGAGCATTAAATTCCACTTTCGAACCTAGAAGTCGATGAAATTTTTTCGTGACCTTTTAACTTTTGCTGCTCAATACTGGCGTTGGCCTTCCTTTGGAAATGAACTAAATTTCGAAATCATTGCATGTTGCACGGTGCTCAATGAGATTCATTTTGAAAATCGAACCGTCAAAAAAAAACTAGCGCTTTCGCTAAATCAAAAACAATTCCGAAAAGTTCGACTCAACACTGAATTCGGACAAAAGACTGAAAGTTTGCATATCCTATGCAAAAATTAGCAGCTTCAGTGCTTTGATTTGGGTGTGCTTTGAATTTCAGCGTTTTTTTTGACAACTTGATTTAGTTGGAAGCTAGCCTTATGTTCTTTAAACAATCTCTGGAGAAACTCAACTGGTCAAAACCATTTTTGATGGCATCACAAACCTTTCTGATTAAAACCCAATCTTCCAATTTAAATCTTCAAAAAAAAAGTTTAAGGAGACGTCAAATGAATATTCAAGCCAGGTTTTCAATTCATGAGGAAACTTTTTAAAAATTCGGTAAAAATCAGCTCTAACAAAAAGACAAATGTTTCGACAAATGCAAGTGAAGATGGTGTTCAACGAATTGAGTTTTTTAAGCGATTGAATCTTGTTCTTTTGAAAACTTAGACAGCTTTAGGAAAACTTAATTTCATGAATATATGAAATAATGCTAGTTGCTTTCATAGTATAGTTTGCAAAAGTTAAAAGCTTTTTAAGTGAGTTTCCAAGCGATTAAACCATTTAAAGATGTTTTCGTAGCTCGAACCGATTCGCAACAAAATAAAACTTTTAAGCCAAGCATTTGTTCAAAGAAATTCTTGCTGCTGCTCAAACTGATTTTCCAAAGCTCATTTAAACATCTTGCTAGAAAAAAGAGCAAAAAAACTAAGGCTAGTTTTTATAGCAATTGCCAAGTTGCCAATATCAGCATCATTGAGCAATTTAATCGACCAACAAATGGTACTTTATAGGTTACTTGGATTTTCTGAAAGTTTTTGGATGCTAAAATGAGTGAAAATAGATTTGTGACGCTAAAAAGATTTTTATGTACATTGACTTTGTTCCGATTCGTTGATCGAAAAAATTATTGCTGAAACTGGCATTAACTATAGATGTTTTACATTGACGTTTTATGTTCATTCGTTTCACAAAAAACTGGCAGGTACTGTCAAGACTTGGAGTTTAATCGGGTTTATCTTGTCCATAGAGAGGACTTAGGGTTAAAGAGAAGAGCTAGAGGATCTAAAACACTCCCAGACGTCAGAATCCAAGATATCTAATATATTTTCACCTTTCTCTTATATACCTTGAGCTCAGTAAACTATTAAACATGGTGTCCTCTTAAGCTTTGCGTCCATAGCGAATTCTGACTTTCAGTTTACATACAAGATAAAAGAAGCAGGTTCCAGTGCAATCAGCACATTATCCTCGGTCACTCAGAGTTTAATGTAAAAAATCTACTTTTGCGATCGTTCAACAAAATGTACCGTTTTGTCTCAATTTTTTTTTTATTTTACTGTATTTAATAAACACTCTTCGTTAAAATGACACCCACCTGTTTTGCTCGCGCATAGACCGCCTGGCCAGGTCTAATCTCGACAACATCGCCTCTGACTAGGAGATTGGCGGGCAAGTTAATAAGCTGGTGGTCCCTGTGAGTCCACTGGAGACTGACACTGGGACTCACAGGAGCATGCAGACTGGGGTAGAGTGTCGAGGGCCACACTGAGAAGGAAGCAGCTCCTGAAGTACAATGCATATAGTCAAAAGGCAGTTGGAAAATCGTCATTTAACTTCAAAACAAAACGGAAAAAATGATTGACTTAATTGAAAAAAGCTTTGATCTTCAAAATTTCAAGATTAACAAATTGTTTCATACAACTAACCCCTTTAGAGAAAACTGGGCCAAAAATGATTTTTACTCCGTTAGAAGTTGAAAAATAAATAAAATAAAACAGGATCCATAGACAATTTGCCGAATTCCCTTGGGAAAAATTAAATCCCGCTGTGGATACTTAAAGGTTAATATTTTTATCGCGCCATTTACACGTTCATTTTCGGAGAGCACAATTTGCCTTCCTTATAGCAAATGATAGTGAATTGAACTCAAGACAAATCAAAAATCAAACCTCAAAAAAAATGAGCGTGAAGAGTTTTTCATTTTGCTGAAAAACCGCACGACCTAAATTAGCGCCTTCAATTCGTTCAGAATGTAATTTCAGTTGCTGACAATGTGGGGATATCGAAGTTATCGATTCGGCAATCTTTTAGTTGATTTAGTTACTATACTTCAAGTGAATATCTCATTTCAAAATCAATAGTATAGGCAGAAAAAAGCGCACCTCGTCTCATCTTGTTACTTTTAAACGCTCAAAAAATCATTCTATGGTACTGTATTGGAATATTGATCCTTGATGAAACGAATTCTCTCTTTCGTACCTGCAGGGACGTTGTTGGATGCGTTGTTCACACCTGAGAGAGATGACATAGTCTGAACTGCTGAGGCGGCTGCGTGTGTCGAAGGGTGGGCCGATTGCTGTTGCATGTAGAGTAGAGTCTCTGAAAAAATATATAAAGTAGGGATTATGAATATCATCATAACCAATTATTTTATAGCATATTTGTAGGTTTCAATGGCGACAAAAAATTATTATTTAAATGCTGTAAAATTTTTCTCTTTGTTAAAAAACAATAATTTGTTTATTTTTTTCATGACAGGAGAATCAATTATCATGAACAGTCAATTGATTAAAAAATATTACTCTATACTTCATTTCTTACTTCTCTAAACCCACATAGCCTTCCCAGGAAAGGCTTAGATAGCAAGAACATCAAAAATAAGTTGAAAATCGATTTCCTATCTAGACGCTTTTATTGATGTACCTCTTAGAATAGAACCATGTAGCGATTTAGTGTCAAAAGGAGCAGATAAATCTGTCCTCAAAAAAGAAAGGCTGCCATGATGTATTTACGTAATGAATGCGATGTGCCAGAAGAAAAGGGTAGGTTTGTACCGAAATAGAAATGAAAATTTAAAAGTTTGAACTTGCATCAACCTAACAACCTATAAATCTGATGTAGAAAAGCTGGGATAAAATAGTAGCGCCCACCAAAAAGCAATTGCGTTGAACACAGCTAAAAACATTTCCCTCTGCTTGTTCCCTCAGATAATTGTTGATATCAGTGTTTTTACCACCACCGAACTTTTCGAGTTATCAAAACTATCGAATTCAGTTCTGACAGAGAGACAAAAAACAACAAACTTCAGTACTGATTTAGAAAAAAATTTTAAAAAAGTATCGACCAATGTTTAAGCGCTTGCTTGTTTTTTAAATATTTGTTATCTTTTTGCGCATTTTTTAGGCCTTAAGAAACTTCATATTAAAAATATTTTACAGATTAATCAATTAATAAGGATCTGAAATAAAAAAATGTTTCATTTCATACCCTTATTGAATGATTGATCGTCTTTTGACTAATATATCTTAAATAAGAATATTCTTTAGTTCACAAAAAATGAGTGAAAAAGACAAGCCTTAGATCCATACACCGTCAACAAGGTTCGGAAAAATGGTTTCTGAATCCCACAAAATGAGAAGCATTAACAGACAAAAACGATAATTTTGTCATAACAAATATTTTTGTAGCTGTACACAGGCTTTGTCTTTCAATCCGATTGTTTTCTCGTTTATATCCAGTACTCCAAAATCGAATATTGTGGAGATTGGTTTAACTTTTCGTCCTTCTTCTAGTACTGCGTCATAAACAATGTCATCAACCAAATAGAAGCAGTAAAGGGCGCCAAACTAACCTTGAATTTGATCTAGTAGATTCTGAGCCCTTGTGTACATATCATTGGCATATAACTTCACATCCCACCAGCTGATGAGAGAGGAGAGGAAGAGTAGAATGAGGATACCCATGGACTCTATGATGAGAGTGCCTCCTAGAGAGGGTTCCAGGATGTAGCAGACGAAGAGGGAGACAGAGGCTGTGAGGATGAGGAGGAACTCATGGAAGCGGAGAGTGGTCAATTTGTGGTGGTAGTGGAACGGCAGAGAGGCCCAGAAAGAACTGAAACTGAAAAAAAAAGAAAAACTTAGTAGCTTCATTCGCGAACGTTAAGAGAAATTCAACGAAACTCCAGGATTGACACTGCTAATGAACATTTAAATTTGCCATCGTCAAGTCGCTAATAGCTAATAAGAATTGCTAAACCGCTTCTATGCTATTTGGCACATATTTTAAATTTAGATTCATATTAGCAGCGGATTGGGTGGGGTGGATGCCTTTGATTTGTACGATTTTTGGATATCCTGACTGCCCGTAAAAATATTCTAACGGCGCCTTTGGCGCCAAGATATACTAAATTTGAAGGGGGAGTGCGCACCGACAAAACTCAATTTTTTAGTTCAACTTTTTTCAAAAAGTGCCGAAAAATCCTTTTTGGCCTGCTTTTTCAAAAACTCGTCTGCTGCGCAGAAAATTTGGTCAAAATAGGATCCTTACAGTGATTTGTGGTAGGTCACAAAATCAATTTGGTCGACCAAAAAAATGTCGACAAAATTTTAAAATTAATATTTTTTGAAATTTTGACCCCCTCGAGAAAATCTTAGATCCGCCCCTGATTCATATTCAGTTTGTTCGAAATAGTGACAGGTAACGTAATAGAATAAATTCTTGAAAAACCGAGCACAGATCTACAATTTCTTTTGCGGGTGGCGGATTTGAAACATTTTTTGAAAATGTTGAACTTTTCTCAAGCTAGACAGCCGGCAGAAAATGAGACGAAAACTACTAAGACATCTTACGGCAAGCTAGCCAAAAAATAAGACGAAGGCCACTGAATCGGAAAATACTACTCCAAAAATGTCGAAAAGCTCAATCAACTAAAATTTTCAAACGTTTGTCTCCTTTGTCCTGAAACATGACAAGAAAACAATGGCCAGATTTAAATCAGCATTGAAACAAAACTTGCGAAGCAGTAACTAAGCCGATAATATTTCGAGAGTCTCTTTTTGGGCAGAAACTTTCATAAAAATGCGTGGACCGTCCTTAAGCCAGAAACTGTCATAAAATACTTTTAGCAATAAACTTTTGAAACTCCGAGACCAAGGTCAACCTGAAACACTTGAACGCACGCATAAAACCAATTTTGTTTTTCAAACGACGTAATACGAGGGGACTAACCCGATTTAAAATAAGCATAAACCGCTACGCAGGATAAACTAAATAAAATTTTTCTACAAAATTCTGTAAGTAGAGATTCGTTGGGGAAATTGTGACTAGAATTTCCATTTATAAAGTTGTAGGACTTGCAATTTAGGCCAATCCCCGATATTTTAACATGATTGCTCGTATCAGGGCAAAGTCATGAATGTTCCTTCTGCCCTTTAATTGTTCTCGAATAGTTTCTGATAAATGAAATATTGGCAACTAAATTAGGCTGATAATATCGAAATTAAATTGTTAAAATTTGAGTCGTGTATGGAACTGATAAGACCAGCTAACCTATTGCCTCAATTCAGTTTGTAACAATTTTTTGGTGCGGAAAAACTCGCCACGAGGGCTCTTTTTCTCAACCACCCCAGCCCCAACTCACATAAGCAAGGATTTCATGGTGTAACGAGTGGTTTTACAAGGTTGAGTATGAAGACCAAATATGTTTGTCATGGGCTAATAAGTCCGTTTGCCAAATTTGATAACAATCTGACAATGTGAAAATTTCTTAAAAATTTCTTAAAAACTTGAAATTTCTTAAAAATTGCAGGTGGGGGAAAGGAAAAAGAGCCGCCACCAGTAAAATATAAAACGAGCAGTATAGTCGGACTCGTAGAAGGATACTAAAGTGGAGTGCACACCCGGCTTGGTCCATGCAGATCGAGGGATCAATCCTTCTAGGGAGCAAAGAGTTTCATGAAATTGGTCTGAATAAAAAAAAACTACCCCGAGCATATAAATTCCTTCCTTTCTTCGAAAGTAGTGCAGTGCAATTGACTCGCCCACTAATTCAGAATTTATTTCCTCAAAATTGTATTGAATAGCAAGCAATTTAAAAGATAACCAATCAGGTAAAAATTAACTTTTCATTCACTCAACAAATCAAGTATTTCTAAAATTAAACGAAAGTTTAGGCTAATTGAGAAGTTCATTGAAATTCGAAGTTGCTGAAATGCCAATATAGTTTTTCCGGGGAAAAAACTAATGAACTAGATAAAAGACAACTCACATCGTTCATTAAATTTAGGAAACAATTAAAGCTTTAGCAATATATGCTTGGGAGCTAAGTATTCAGATCTTTCTTAGCGCATACATGCTGAAAAAACCTTGTTTTACGAAAAATGCATGGAGGTTGAAACTGATTAACTCACGATCTTTTTAGCGATTGCTGTCGACTAAATTCCTGCAACTCATTGTTCACTTCGTGGAACAACCTCTCTAGAGCCTGCTTCGAACTCAGGCCAAGTTTTGCGTTATTCGGAACCACTTGCATACCATTCGTACCCACGCCCATTCCACTGTTATTCAGAACACCAGCTCCTCCGTTGTTCATCATGGAATTGTTGTTCGCGTTGTTTGAATCGTCCCCAGGATGCAAAACTCCTTGATGAATGTTCATTGACGACCGATTCAAGGTCACTGAGTTTGAATTCGTGAATTCACTCGTCACCATATTTGAGCTTAAATCTGGTTGGCTTCTCATTCTTAGTCCCTTAGAGTCCCGTAACAGAGAGCGTCGTGAGTCGAATTGTGCTTCGTTTTGGTAATATCCGTCGAAACCTTCAGGTTGGTTATGAGAACTTATAATCGAATCGTGAAAATCTTTACGCGAAAGTGGCGAGGCAGTTCGGAATCCTGGTTTATTAATTGAATCTCTGCCTCGCGAAGGAATTTCCCTATGACGTAACTGCTGAGACTGATTTTGATTATGACTAGGCGTGAAGTAACTTTGGTTCGCGCTTCGAGGCCTGAAGCCCGGATTCGGGTAGTAATGTCCTTCGTAGATACTTCTGCTGTCCCGAACAATTTGAGTATTGTCGAGAAGTAAAGCGTGATCGTTATTGCTATCTGTTAATGTGACGTAATTAGCGACAGGACGGCAGTTCGATCCCGAGCGAGAAAGGATGTTGTCGCGTGACGAGGCTTGGCTTCGGTGACGTCGGGATAACAGTTGTCGTGAGTCATTCTGGTCAGTTGCCTGCGCTTTCGGAGCATACGCACCCACGGAGTACTTTGTCCCATCTCGATTTCTACTGTGACCTGAAAGATAAACTTGAGAAAAATTATCTGGAATAATCTCGAGATTATCTGGTTAAAAGGAAACTAATCAATAAAAGAATTTGCCCAAAAGAGTAGCAAGGTGAATTAAATTCCAGTTTCTTTTAATTTATAGGGGTTTCCTCCTATTTCAGGACAAGTGTAACAATAAAAAATATTAAGGTAAACTGTTTCAAATTTCTGTTCAACATTCGAGTCTGCAATTGAATGCTTTAAGAGCATTGAGAAAATGTAATAACAAACTGCAAACTAAGCGCTCTTTGGCAGTAACAGCATGCAAACAAATAGACTCTGATTAGACCTGGCCAGCTAAACCACAGTTCACACATTTTGGCTGCAGATAATGGTCAATTTAGACCATTTATAAAACATCAAAACTAAACTGTAACTCGAGTTTATTTTTTCACACTGTTCTAGCCCAGCAAATGAAAAAGACCACTGTCAATGATCTTTTAGTAGGATTGGAGTTTTTTTCCACAAGTCGTTAAAATGCAAATGAAAATGAAAAAGACCACAATCAATGATCTTTTGTAGAAATTATTTGAAAAGTTTATATCTCGCAACTGTAAATATTTTTGAACATTCGCGAAAAGTATTTTGGAAAAAGTATCACAACCAAGCGTCAGACAAAATTTCACTTTTAGGTAAAATTGGGCGGGGAATAATGAAACAGATTCTGAAAATTAAACTAACAGTTAACACGGGACAAATTTAATAAACCAATTCCCTAAATGCCACAGAATAGGGAGCAACCAACTAGCTTCGCCGTATTCGATACACAATGAATTTACTGGCCTGAAATTGGTAATACTGGTTTGGCGAATAGCAACACCAATTACCTTTTCATTGACCACACGTGCCAATTACCTCTGGATGTTTTTAAATTGTATCGCCCGAAATTTTTCATAAATGCCCACTGTCAAAAAGCATATGTTCTCTAATGCATTGATGTTGCTTGATAAAACTGAATTATCTATTACAGGCCTGTAGAAAATCAAGGTAAAAACCAATAGAGCGCAGTAAAAATTATTTCTCCTTTGGGTCTTTGACACAAATTGCCTTTGAACACTCCAAAGTCTTTTCCATATCGTTTATCATTAAGTTTTATCATTTACTGGTGAATTTTAAGGATTCTAAAATATATATCAAACATTTGACTTCAAAGAATTTTGATGATAAATTATGCATATTTTTTTGAAAAAAGCACCGTTAAAAATGCTTATTATTTCATAAAAAATAACTTAATGGCACTCATTTGGTCTCTTCGTCTCCCAAATTGAACATGCTTCTGACCATTCTCATTCAACATTAAGCACAGCCAACAGGCAGTTGGAAAAGAGTCAATGAACGCAATAAACAGAAAAAAACACTGACTTGGTTTTTGAATTTCAAAGAAAAAATTAGATGACCTAGAAGCTCTTTGAATTTCTAGAACAATTTATGACTGACACTTTTTTGATAAAAATAACCCAATTTTCGAAACCTGAAGTCGATCAAGTTTTTTGTGACCTTTCCACTCTTACCGTTCGATTGTGGAGTTTGCCTTCTTTTTATCAAACGAAATTAATTGAACTAATAAAGAAATCAAAATGCAAACTGCGAAAAAGAAAATTTGAGCCTGAACAAAAATTAGAACTTTTCCACAAATAAAAACGGAAAAAAATTATCGCGACCTAAAAAAAAGGGTCTGAACTACGTTCATTGACTCTTAGTAACAAATTTTCACGTCGTAAACGCCAACTTACCGTTGTCGAAATACGTCATCATGTTACGCCTTGGAAAACTGTTACTGGAGAAATCCTTATTAGGACAAGGCGCTTTTAAATGATTAGGAGAATAACTCTGTAGCTTCTTTTCTGGCGTATTATTTTGAAGTAAATTGACACATTCTTGGTTTTCTTTTTCTGGTTCTCCATAAGAGTTCATCGGGTCTAAATTTGTGTCTTTCACTCTATTAATACTAGCAGAGACATTTCTTGCCCTTTTTCCGGGGACTTGATCCCCTGATTGGTAAAAAGGTATCGAGGGCGTTTTGTTGTCGTAAACAAACATTTTAAGGGGATTAGCGGTAGGCAGGGAAGGGGAGGGTGTAATAAAATATCAAAATTCCATTACAGTTCAGCCAGCAGCGACGGAAGTAGCATAAATAGTAACCAACCAGTAATGTGCAAATATGATTGTCATAAGAAGTAGGACATTATTGGGAAATCGTTGTAGATAAGCATAAACATATTGTAAATGGCTGTGTTATCCACGTTTTAGTGTGAGATTTTAAACTGAAAAATATTCTAATTATTGTTCCAAGTGGAAAATTCCCGTTTTGTGGAGTAAGTTCAAAATTAAAAAGTATCTGCTGTCTCTCAGCCGAAAAGTGCAACCAGTAGAAATTAGATCAACAATAGAACTGATGCCATCAATTCGGTAGCTAAAATTTTTTCAATCACTTCACTTGAAAGCATCGCTACTACTCAACTGATTCAGTTCTGATTGAAAATAAAATTAAAAAGCTTAAATTTGCATGTTACGGCTAATTTACGTAATTATCAAACGAAATAAGCGGAAACCAAAATAAGATAGATAGTAAGCTCAATTTAGTTGAAATCGCGAATTTTTCATCAGTTGAAAGTAAAGGTTTCATTTTCTAAAGATGTGCTCGGTGTAGTTGTGCTGATTATATCTTTATTACTATTTGGTGAAAACTCTCATATAATCAGAGATCAACCGCTCAATCATATGAAATGAGACAAAGGACCACAAAAAGAGCGCCGTTGATCTAATTTGGTATCAATGAAAAATGAAAGAGTCGGTCTCTCATTCGGCGGTTTTCACCTCTGCTAAAAATTACTGTGTCGACGTCGCACTCTCTTTTGCTAAAAAAAATCAAGGCTGCTCACATCATGGCTACGCCCTGAATACACCACCAACTTTCGACTTATTTGAGCGATAAAGTTTGAAAAAGTTACGGGCTTTTTTTGATAAGCTTGTGACTTTTACTTAAAAACTTAAAAATGTGCATTTCTCGCTGATAATACTTGTGTATGGAACCAGTAAAGCGACTCCGACAGTCATTGTTCAGCACAACCGCGCCGTTTTCAGGAGCCCAAAATTTTTCGAAGAATGATCGCTGATTGAAATTGGTTTGAAACTATGACAACTGCACATCGACAAATTAACAATTAATCATCACAGAAATTTTACAAAAGCAAAATTTCCTGTAGAATGAGGGGAATTGCTTATTCTATCTCTATCGCTGGCATATATAAGGATGCACACACAAGCCGAAAACAATAGTTAAAAACATTAAAATAGCGGGCATTAGGCCAACAATACGACGTTAGACGCCCAATAAAACGAAATCAAAAAAAGCCATAACAAATTAATTAAAACTTTTTGTGCGATTAGGGTTTGAAACAATCAATTTTTTTACCATAAACAACCTAAATTGAACAATTTTGCCCACAAAACCACACAAAATATAACTACTCAACCGATAATTTACGCCGAAACTATTTAGGTACAATAAATCTTAAAAGCGAAAAGAAAGTAGACAAAATTAAAATATACCAAGTCAGGGCTAGTGAAATTACAAATTACGAGTAAATCAACAACACTTGCAACTAAAGTGAAAAAATATTTTTAGCATAAAAAATTACTAGCAGCTCGTTTTGAGGCAATTAAGCCGATAAAAAACATAATCAGACAAACGGTAGGCCGAAAAGTTTTTCTTTGAAACGGAATAATTTCAGTTTAAAAAAAGGTCCTGGCCGGATTCTAACCTAAGATTTTTGCCATCCCAGGCGTAGTCGTAAAATCCAGGCCAAGAGTACATAAAAAGCCAGGAAACATTTGAGTTGGTTCTATATCAAGACACAAAGCGAGCTTCAAAAATGATTCAAAATGATTTGAAACCTGAAAAATTGGCCGACGAATTATGAGCAGACAAACGAACGTCCGACAACTCCATTTTTTCCAGCAAAACAAAATAGTTTCAATGAGGACAGCCAGTTACTGTGCAATTAGCACAGAGTGTTCCGAACATCGTCTTATTAAAACAGGATTTCTTTTCAAATTAATATCGTTTATTCTGCGTGGTGTGATAAAAGAATCTGAACGCAAAAAAATCGCATACTCGAAAGTCATATTAGAAAAGGCAAAATGAACAACAGTTTTTGAAAAAATGAAGAGAAAAATAAAAAAAACGATATGACCAGAAATTGTTCACGTTTTTTTTCCGCCATTTCCACGTTCGTATGTGGATAGTGCTATTTACGTCACTTTCAGCAGATGAATTTGAAATGAAATCAAAAAATGCAGAGATACTTAGGTGCATATACAAACTGCATTAATGTATGAATGTACATCTGTAGTTAATCGAGATTTTTATGCATCTTTTAAGACTTTTTCCTGAATCTAAGTTTTCTGACACAAAACGTCATATGTCGAAGTCACACAAAACGTCATATGTCGAAAACTGAGAGCATTTCAGCAGTCGCATTTAGACGCAAGATTTGGATCTTGAAATTTCTGAGAGCACCCTCAGAGCACCAAACTACAAGATTAGGAACTTCAAATCTTTTGAAATTTTTAAAATCTAAGTTTTCTGAAAAATTAAGAAGAAAACATAGAACACGTCATATCTCGAAAACTATAACATTTGGATCAGTCATATCTGGAGGCAGGATTCGCAATCCTTGAAAGTACTCTGACACCACCCAACTACAGGTTAAGATATTTAAAGTTTTGTATTATTCGGAAATTGAAAAAATACTAAATTTTTGGTATACTAAAAGGATTTGGGTGTTCATAATTGGAGTCAAATTCGCAACCCCTGGGGGAACTCTGACAGCATCCCACTTTTGTGTTGCTAACTTTAAATTCGATGGAACAAACACTAGATTCAAACTGGAAAACCGAAAAAAATCTTAAGCACTGCAATATACGATATAGCTTAACCACGCATAGATACGTAATGCACTTAACTGTTGCGAAAAACACTCAACAGAAAAATCGAAAAACTAATTTTACTCAAGTAAAGTTAAAATTGGTCATAAATAAATATTTTTAAACGGCTTAATTTAAGTACAAATAAGCATGCTCGCTCGCTTTCCTCGTTCAAAATTAGACAAAATATAAAAAATTTCCAGTCGTTTTTTTTCAACACTGGGTAATTTTTAAATGTCGTTCGAATCACTAAAAGGGTTTTAATATATGTGACTCGACCCATTACGATAACTATTTGTGGTACCTGATTTTCCGTGAAAAACAATAAAAAAAGAAAAACTAAAACGCACGAAAATGAAGTTCCTCCCCCTTTTCAATGGTAGGAACAACATCAACTGGCCGGGCCTCGAACCCCCAATCTAAAGGTGCAGAGGTAACCGAAACATCATGTTTTTTGTTTTTGTTCTTTTGTTTTTTATGCGTTTTCTTTCGTATTGTCTGTTAGTATCTAGGTTTTTAATGTCTCATATAACAGCAGTGTCAGTAGCACTGACTTGCTTATAGAATTGGCTATGTTCGATAAATAGATTTTCAATGAAGAAATTATTTAGTTCAAATTTTTATTAATTGAAAATTTAGTTCACTGTAGTTCTGTTCAAGGGTAGCCTATTAGTGGGCATTACATATGTCTTCTGGCTATCCTATCCGGCTCTAAATTGTTTGCTTGTAATTTCTATTATGTTGAAGTTGTTGTTAAAAATTCTTGCTTTCTTTCTTTCTTTCTTTCAAGTGGGATGAAGACTGGAAATCGTTCAGGTTCAATAATACAGCAAGCGCAATTTTATATCGATTTGGGCAAGGTAAAAAAAGTCCCAATTACAAGACACTTACTCTCGCAAGTGTAACCATTCGTTACCATTGAATATTTAGACGGGGAAAGCAAAAAAAATTGACTTCTTTGCCACCAAAGATCCCCCTTGCGACTATTTTACGGCACCCCCTTTTGGACAAATCTTCGGCGCCAATGTTCAACAAACTTGGAAGAAATACGACAAAATAATACGACAATTACTCAAAGATTTCCAAAATATGCCCAAAATTGTCTTTCATTCATATTTTTGCGTCCAGAAAAGAATGAAATTTTGAAAAGTATAACAAAATCAAAATCAATCCAAAATTAGAACCGTATACCTAACAAAACGAAAAAAAAAACGTAAAAGACAGATCGGTGCAGAGTAAAAATTGAAATAGAATTTTCAAACTCTCTGCATTAAGACATCACAAAAGGGTTCAGGTTCTGGGCTAACTATTGCTTCCCTTAAAGGGGATAGAATCCGATTATTGGAAACTTTGCTTATGATCGTGTTTTCAGGCAAATTTATTTTTACTCAAATTCATTGAAAATACCCTATATAAGAGGAATCATCTACGCCGTGAGCCTATTTCCGTGAAGGAAAAAAAGAAAAATTATATTTGTGGTGTTTTTAAGCGCGCAATCCGGATTCAGTTTATTATACTAGGCCTGAAGTGCCTGGCATTTATCTCCCTAAACTGGATATTAATTAAATGTTACAATCTAGTCAATAAAAGGAGAGAAAGCTGGTGCATTTAGCAAAGTAAGGGCATCATTAATGATTAATTTGATAACGGAGATTGAAAGTATAACAAATGTCATCAAATAAAATAACAGATACGCTAAACAGAGTGCCAGGCCCTTTCCATTTTCAATATGGAAAGAATAAAAACACAGCAATAGAATTCTAACGGTTCAAACTAAAAGCGAGCTGAAAGGGGAATTAGCAATGGATTTTCACCGTTAAGTTCTGGCATTCGTATGGTGTGCCTTTGATTTCAAGTGATATCCAAATAGTTGTGGCTATATATCAAAAGACCATAAGTTTTTTCGGAAATTAGCAACCAATACTTCAGAGTAATGTAAGAATGACAGGCTTTATACAGTTAAGAAAAAGTATCGCCAATAAAGAATATTAGCAATATCATAGTTTGGTAACTTTGATCACACCTGAGCAACCTTGCAGTTGACTTACCGTGGGATCAACGAAAACTCTAAGTCCAATTACAAAAAAGGGAAGGTAAGTCAGATGATAAGAGCGTTGGTCGCAATTCTAAAAGGCTCATTTTCAGGGTAATGGGATGCCCATCTCCGAACTAAGCAAAGTCGCAAAAAAGGGAAAGGTCAAATTTCAGTCTGATTATAACAAGAGTTTATCCCAGATTGGACGTGGAAAATATTATCCCACGAACTAGAGATTCTAGATTATAAAAAGGATTATTGCTAGTACGGATAGCGATTTCATTGCAAGTCATCTGAGAAGCAATTACCAGAGAAAGATTTGTCTTTAAAATCTCTTGAACATTATTATGTTACAAACACTTTTGAGACAATCAATTCAACCTCAAGCTACGAAAATTTAAAAGCGGACCACCCATCAGAGTAATTTCTAACACAGAGGTGAAGCGGAGCTTCGCAACACTTGAGATGCAAAAAACACAATGCGCTACAAAATAGTGAATGAAAAAAGACAGTCAAAAAAATTCTGAAAAGTTATCTTAGAAAAAATTACTTGAAAAAAAACTTACAATAACAAAAATTTCATATTTGTATCAGATAAAGTTCATAAACAGCCCCTAAAATGGAAATCATTTAACGAGCGTCAACAAAGGCGACAAACTTTCGGTCGAAACCTGTTGAGCCGAAAACAATCTGTTTGTCATAACAAACTTCATTAAATTTACAAGTTTTACGACCCATCCAAACTGAAACACCTGATCTTAAACGGATATATTTCTCCCTCGAGATAAGCAAAAATAATATAACCAATTTAACATAAACTGAAAGTATTGGAAACATAAAAAAAAACGAAAATGAAAAAAAAATCAAAATCAGATAAGGTATATTACAATATTGTGAATATACAATATTGTTAAGTTTCAGTTATAGTAAAAACTGTTTAAATTGGAACAAAACTCATGCTTTATAAAGCAAAACAAAAAAAAATCCGCCAGATAAAAAACGGCTTTACAAAAAAAACGGAAATTGAACCGATAGAAACTAGGACGAAAACCAGGAACCCGAAAAAAATTGAAAAACTGCAAAAAAATTTTTTTTAAATGCTATCGTGCGTCGACATGTTTAAGTTTCTTAAATGATGATACCTACTTATATCCAGAACAGTTCTTTTTCCGACTAAATGCCATCTTTGCTATGATTTGAAAAATTTATCTTGTATCTTATTATGAAATTGTATGATATAGTTTTTCGGTGTATAAAGCCCTATTCTTTTGACTCCATGCTACAGTACTACCAATTATGAATCAACATTTTTGTAGACAAAATAGCCGCCAAATCATTTTAAATGTTGGAAAATTAAAGTTTCAAAATATTGTTCTAAATTTAATCATTCTTTTCATTTTTTATTCCATGTCCTTGCCCAACAATAAGCCGCAATTAATACAAGAAAAAAATTCTGAAACTTTGGTAAATGAAAACAATACCGAAAGTAAAAACCCAGAAAATCAAACAAAAATGAAAAAAACAAGGTTGTCGTCGGACAAAACCATAGCTTCGAAAAAATTCAAAGTTCGTCAAGCAGTAACTTTCATAAAGTCAAAGCTTTTCACGCAGATTAGAAAAAAGTTTTTGGGACGATCGTTACAACTATTAAATATATCGCACCTGTCTCAAACTCTGGTTAAGTCGACGATACTAGGAAAATAAGGATACGAGTCGATTGAAACAAAAATAAAACAATTTTAGCAGAAATTAGAATAGCAATTTAAGAAAATCTGAAAAAAAAACGGACATTGTGTAAAAAGCCAAGTATTGCAAGTGTAAGTATAGGCGGGCCAGGTCTTTTCATTATCCCAAGAAGAAACCAGAATGGCCAACTGCTGAACCAGTTGCACAGACTGTTTCAACCACAGTAATTTAGAACCGAACAGTTTCAAACACGAAGTGTAGCAAAGAAAAAATAAAATTAAAAAAATAAAAATACTTTCTAAAAACTACTTTTCATCTAATCAGAGGTAGTGGCTTCTATTAGATGGAAATCTGTTGAGTGACTAAAAAACATTCAAAATGCAGTAAAATTAGATAAAAATTTCATTTCTTTTTCGCGTTGCTTATTGCAACTTAGCCAGAAAACCAGGCCAAAATTCTCGAAACAGAATTTTCTTTTGAATCAGAATCACGACTGCAGGGGCTTTAATATAACACCATATTTGGACTTCTACGAGCTTTTTTTGAGATGCTAATTCCAGTCAAATACGATAATATGTCATTTAAATTCAAAAACTTGCTAGTCACATATGCCAAAAACAAAAATTTAATCGATGAACCATACAGACATAGGTCACAAATACCCATAAAAGATTTAAAACAGCCTTTTGTTGACATATAAACCTTCACAGCACTAGACGTACAACAGCAGCTTGAGGACCGTTTGACATCATGAGACGTCGATTCGTCGCAAGCCAAATTTGGTCGCAGGCCTCAATTGGTAGCATCTCAATAAGCGACAATTTATCGCAGAGCAATTGGCCATTATCTATAGAAGTATTTCATATAATTAAAAGAGCAATGCAAAGCTTTGGTTTGCGACGAATTGACGCCATGCCATATTGAGATAAATATCCGATAAGTAATAATAACAAAAATATATATGTTTTAAAAAAATTCTTATAAAAAGATATGTTTTTAAAAAATTATATTCAAAGGCAGAAAAAAATCTCAATTTCACTTACCTCTCATCTCCGTTTACACCGATTTGAAGGTGCACTTAACCAAAACAGAGTTTTCCGCCGGCGCAAAAACAATAAAAGCTCATAAAATATGAAATTTCGATTAAATCAAACTGTGCATTATGAAATCAAAACAAGTCGGATTTTAGATTTTAACTCTACATTGACCGTTTCGTCACAAATCAAAATCAAAACTCCTCAGTTGCAGTCCCATAAAATCTGCTCTATATCCCAACGTGGGTTAAAAACCCGGGAAAACCAAATATATTGAATTCTAGCCACAACTCCCAATCTAGTTATGAAGTTATAACTCAAAATGCACTCCAAAGGTAGAAGTTATAGTTAAGTGTGAGGTGAGAACTAAAAGAAGTGGTAGTTTTGGCTACAAAGGGACAATGTAGTTTGTAGCCAGACCTCTATCTGGTTGGCAAGGGGCGAGGTAAAAACCAGGTGATTAGCTTTTCCTTCTCAAACTTGGCCTAATCTCAACTTCAATCACAATATTATCCTGTTGGACCAAACTTACCAACCGAAACACAATGACGTCACTGAGCAAAGTACTGTAACTCACGCCCCTTCAGCAGAAAAGGAACTTAACCGAAAGATACTTAAGAACACATTTAAACTCATTACTGTAGCTGCTCAACAACGACGCAAGTTGAAACGCAGTTCAAAGCTTTCAGGGAAAATTGAAACAGGTCCGACGAACTGTACGAACGAACTGAGATTTCGTTGAAACGACCATAGCTGTGAGCATAAACGAGGCGGTCTTAAATTAGCGTTCCGGTCAAAATCTAAAGATAAAGTAGAATAGTTTTATAAGGTTTAAGTTTAAGTCACACGTAATGCCTGAAACAATTCAAAGAAACACAACTATCTTTAATAAAAATGGAACTATTCGAAATTGGCAAATAAGTTTGAAAGCGAGAAAACATATAATACCAGACACAGATTTTGTTCTAACAGGGACCAATTTAATCCTTAGTATGCAAATTCTATCCCTCAGCACGCATGCCATTTTGAAGCCAACAGAGCTGAAGTTGAAATTAATTTTGGAAAGAAATGGTAGAACAATCAAAAACCAACAAATAAATCCTCTCCTTCCTCAGAGACCAATGCCAGTTCGGTCTTCTTTGCTTCTGACACCGTCCAAGTCAAGACGGAGTAGTTCACACATGCAAGCAAATACCAAAAACATAAGCAAGAGTTCAATTCCATCTTTCAGAAAACCGAATGCTGTTAAAAACTGAAAAATACAACACTAGATAATGGCCAAATACAGTTTCTCATACAAACTTTTCGTTAGAACTGCTTGATAAACTGATGCATGAATTTTGATTACCCAGGTGTTATTTTTTACAATTGCGATTAGTAAGCGTGGTCAAATCGGAGGAGCATAGAGGTTTATCCAGGTTAACAACATGTCTGACAGAATCACTGAATCAATTCGTTGATTCTCTCGTAACCTATTTTCGTTAACAACAGACTTATTTTAGCATAATTGCATTATAAATACCCATTATATTCGAAATTTATTTTAGGTTGTTTGCAAATTTAACAACTCCGATTTTGAGCAATTTCAGCTTTTTGTCCCGACTTTCGAAAAAAAACTGAATATTTCTGCTTGGTGTGCTTTTTTTATTCAGTCAATTTTGGGCGATCGAAATAATGGTTTTTAACAAAAAGTCTTTAATACCCCCATTGAAGACTACGACTCCCCGAAACCAAATGTAAAAAAAAATATTTAAACTACGATTAATTTTTGCAAAGTTGTGGAGTTTGAAAGTTAGCTATCCTGTGTACTAATTTATGCGCGCTTTTAAGATTTTATTCATAATGCGGAAAACGCAACATAATTGATTTATTTATTTCCAAAAACTAGTCGATATCAAATAAGGGGCAGTCGGAACATTCAGAGCTTTGACGTGATATAAAAGCACTCTTGTTTCACTGAGAATGAATAATCGCTCTAAAAAGTTATGGCTTATATAATATCGACAAAGCTTCCTCATATTGGGTCATTTCAAAAACGGAAAAAGTTTCAGGCAAGCCAAGCCAAGTCTTTGAAATGGTTTATTGTTCAACTTTTTTTCGACTCAACGCGCGTCAACTATCTCCCCCTATGGTATCTACTAAAGAACTTCCACCCCTCTTAGCAAAACAGTAAATTAGCACTGGCGCTTTCTGCACAGAGAATTGTATTTTTGCTTGTGATTGGTTGAAAATTCGAGACAAATGGATGAAAAATTTGGTATATCTTGTATTTAAAAATTGAAAACAATTGACAGATAATAGAATCAACAAATTAAATTTCTTCGTTTGGATGCGTGCTTAAACGACGCTTCAATTATTGCACCTTGCTGACGGTTAGAAACAGAGTCACAGTGATGAAACTTCACATGGCTTCGCCTGCGTGGGCGAAACGAAAAAATAATGTTCGTATCATGGTGAAACCCTGAAAGTTCAAACTGCCCTGAAATACGAGTGTCAAGAAGTTTTTAGAAGTTTTTACATTTTCAAAATGAAGAAAACTACAGCGAGCTTATCCACATAAAATAATAGATTTTTCAAAAAAAAGACGCTAAATAACAATACCGCGGCCCATTCCAATTCCACCATTATAAATAGATTGTCCCAAAGCTCAGACATCGGGCACAAAACTCGACTACATATGTTGTTAAATCAATTCTACTAACAATAGTTTGAAAATTTCAAAGCCTCCTTATCGTCAGTTGGTACAAATTAACAACTTATGGCGCCCCTTGTTTCTCAGCGAAACAAGAGGTTTTTATAATTTATTTTGTGGGTGCAACAATCAGTGATGTCAATTTAGATAGTGAATACATTTACTTGAACTGATAAAAAAATATCCGGCTGCAATTCAAATTGAAAAATTATTGTAGCTTGCAAATATAGATGGTCATGTTGAATTTTCAATATTAATAGCAAAAAAAAATTTTTCAGTTCAACTTTGATCAAAAAGTTGAATGATTCTACCGTAATTACAATTTATCCGGAAAAGTTAGATAATTTTTGATCTTGAAATAATCACTCTGAAGCCACTGAATAATTCAAATTAAAATTCTGAGTAGAAATTAGCAATTTAAATGGAGAAAT